GTAGACGCAGCAGGAGCATTTCATGGGAAAGGATAACAGCTCTTTCGTAGCCCATGCGATGGAGAAGGCTCATGATTTCCTGGTCAGACAGGATATTGTCATCGGTGTGGAGTATCGATCCTTGTTCATCCTGTAGATCATCGTGGCAGAGCATGTAGTGGATGCCGGAGGTCTCGTCAATCTCTTCAATGTTGTAGTAGAGGAAGTCACCGCGCTCACCAAACGCATAGACTGGGCTCGTGAGTCCCCATTGTTTCAGTTCTTGTGCGACTCCAGGTTCCGCAGAATCTTTTGGAATTTCAATGTAGTGAGGTAGCGGCTGGGTAGGATCTGCTGCCTTGACTTTGACCACCTCAAGAGCCGGGATCAACGTGTCCAAGCTCAATGGGGTTGGTGTCATTGGGGTCCTCTCCCATTCGCCCTCAGGCGGCTCATGCCTGATCACCTGCTCGACTTCAACAGAGTGAGGTTGTGATGCCGCAAAAGTCCTGTGAAATGGAGGTTGTTCACTGGCACTATGAGGTATGGTCAGACCAGTGAATCTGGCAGTCATCTGCAAATTGATACTGTATCCATCTCTTCCTTGGAGTGGTTGTCCCAAAATGAGTTGGTATGTACCGTACCAACCAGCACAGTGACGATCGGCACCAGCAAGGAGACAACGATTTGTGAGTGCCAAACTGTGAATGATTTGCTCCAAGAAGATGTGTTCATGTGTCGTGAGCGCAAGCTGCCAGAGTGGACCCGGCAATGGGATTGCTCGGTCAAAGACAGTGACAACACTCGTCACCAGCTCCGGTTGCGGCCGTTGTACTAAAAGGACATGAGCTGCAACAGGTCGTCCACGTTGTGGCGGTCTGGGCTGCACAATGACAAGCTCAGAAGGTGCTCCATTGATGAGCCTGTCCTGCCAAAGTTGGCGGATGTTGCGTTCCCACATAACGAACTGGGAGTTGAGCTGGATGTTGCGAGGATGCCAGCAAACTCTGCGTGCAGGATCTTGTTGATCAACGAACCACGTAGTGACCTCAGCACTTGGCTCTTCGCCTTGCCAACTGAAGACAGTCCTGGTCCATTCCTCATGTAGATCCTGAATAACTTCAGACATGGCCTCAAGTCGGATTTCTTGTGGCACAAATTCAGGTGCTCGAGGATCCAAGACAAAATCATCGATGGAGTTGGTGGGTTGAATTGGCTGCGGGACTTCTGCTCTCATAGGCTCTGCTATGCCATAAGAGAAGGACTCCGGTCTTCGTCTGACATGGAGTTCAATATGTTGGCCATTGTCTGCCCTCCATGGTTCTTGTGTGGAAAGCTGCTGCTGATTGTGTGTGGCATGGCAGTTCCACTGTCTTTCAAGGCATCTCACTTCTTGATCAGCAAACCATAGAAGTCTGTCGAAAGGCAACAAACTTGGCACAAGTTGTGCAAATCGATCAGGTGCTGGTCCTCCGGCAATTGTGAGGAGAATTCCTGCCTCAGCTGGATGTTCGTGCTGAAGAATCAAAAGATGACCGCCATGGACCGCTCCGACAGGTGTGGGATGAATGATTTGCATTCGGATTGGCCAGTGTGGGTGTTGTCGATCCCTCCATACTTGGCGTAGTGCTGAATCCCACAACCTCACATTGGCTGGTAATGCAGCCATTCTGGGCGTCGAGCATCTTGGGAAATCAAGCGCACTGAGGAACCACGTGTCAAAATACATGATTGGCTCTTGATCCGGGCCTCTTGTCTGGAGTTGAGGTCGATTCCATAGATCATGTAGGTGTCGAAGGTCTGGATCCATTTCCTCGGCGAAGTCTCTTTGAGGACGAGGACGTCTTCTGGGTCTTCCGCCGCAAATGTCCAAACGATTGGGCTGTGCAAGATGTTTGTCACCAATCTTGGTCTTGACAGGTCCACGTTTGGATCCATGGATTTGCAGGAAGTTCATCTCATCGCTGTGAGCACCACAGTGAAAGCGTCTTTCATCATCGCCGATGAAAATCTTGATGTAGTCGCCATCCTCAATGATCATAGGTTCATCCCGGTCATGGTCGATGAGGACATTGTTGATCCACAGATGCGTCTTTGTGGTGTGTCTGTTGTAGACATCCTCAAGATTCAAGATGCGAAAGAGCGAAGTCATGGTGGTTGTGTGTGGTAGCCATTTTGCTAATCTGCGAAAGGCTCCCGGCAGGATTTCGTTCTTCTCAAAGATCTCGAGGTCGAGGAGCGTGATGCGCAGGAAAGAAATTGGACGTCTTTCTCCTTGTCGAAGAACTAAGAGACATTGGAGGTCAACCGCTACGAGATCTTCAGGACGTTCAAGTACTGCAAATGTCTCCTCAATAGCGTCCTGATTGACAGCTGTGGCGATTCTTCGATAATACTCCTCATTCTGTTCCTCAGCAAGAGGCAGGAGGCTGCAAGTCCATCCAGGGTGAATACCACCGTTCTGATCCATGTACTTGTTCCACTAGAGGGCTCTCTGCTGGTGGAACGTTGCATGGTGTCAGTGGCTGATGTAGAAGAACTCGAGGATGTGGGTGAGCGTCTGATGGGTCGTCTTGCCATCAGGGCATTATCATCAGTCTCCTCCATGTTTCCATGCTGCTGAGGCTGGACAAAGTCTTGCCATTGCTCCATTCTAGGTCTGACATAGACGTTCCATTCTTCATCGTTGATGATCATGGGGACGCTAACAACCAAACCTAATCCATCATGCATCCTGATTGGGCGTTCTCTGGGGAAGACATGCAGTCCTGCTCGTAGAACACAAGGCTGGAGACCCTGCCTCTCTGCTTCCCTGCATGCTTCAAAGGCTTCTGCACGATGCAAAACTGTGGAGAAATCAGTCCAGGTGTCGACCACATGAGCAATCTCAATCGTACGTGGCGTGGGCAATTCATCGAACAGCGCAGTGGTTAAAATTGCATGACCACCTGGTTGAGCATGCTGAACGATGAGCACAATGCCAACAATACCACGTGTAAGCGAAATTGGAGGCTCGGGTTGAACAAGGTGAACATTGAAGTCTGCCTCACGGTCAAATAAATCTCCCCAAACACTCTTGAACTCCTCAATCCATGTCTCGTATCGACGTGTCAGGCGGATTGGGCGGTCGGCCGCCTGTCGAATACAGGTTTGATGGCTGAGGTAGTACGTGCTCAGGTAAATGATGGGGCCTTCTTCAAGTAATTCCGTCGCACCTTCATCCTGGAGTATATTCCACAAAGATTCGACCCATGCTGGAAGATGTCTGATCGGAATGCGTCCATGTCCTCCATGCGCAGTGGACTCTTCAGACGAGCTGGGCGGATCTGGCAAATTTGGGTTCTCTGTCGGGTCTGGCCTGTGCGAGATTGGTGCAGTCCTCGACAGAGTCAAAAATTGTTGTGAAGTTGTGTGGGCTTCAACAACCTTGCAATTGGATTGCGAGAGTGGGCAGCTCTTCGGCAACCATTCTCGTTGTGAAACATCATCAATGGAGATTCTGCTTGTAGTCCATGATGAGCTGAATTCAGGTCCAAAATGGACGTGGGCAATTGGGTCAAATGAGACTGTGAGACCCTTTTTGATTTTTCTGTGAGGCACGGAGAAACCCCATTCTCGTTTCTCACATTGTTGGATGAAGCTTGTTGGATGAAGCTGGTTGGCTGCATTGTGAATGCTAGATGCATGGCGTCTTCACTGGCCTGCCAGGGTGACTTGTAGAAGCGCTCCTGGAGGATGGAGTGCGACCATTGCAAACTGGCTACATCAGCAGCAATTGAAGAAGGAGGCCACGCTGCCCATCGATCAAAGTACTCTAGAGTCATCAATGACCGGGCACACCAAAAGGCTGCATTGAAGGCAATCCTCCTGACGGCATTACCACATCCGGTGGTTCTCCTTCTTTCTGACGCGGCCTCTTGGCCTTTCTCTCCTCTTCTTCCTCTTTCTCGGCCTGCTCGGAAAGTTTCTGTAGGCTTTCCGTCATATGTGCAAGACCTTCCAAGATCTTTGCGGCCGATTCCTTTGTCGATGTGTCTTTCGCCTCCCCTTCGTCGTCGGAGATCACTGTTGCTGCCTCCTCTTTCGAGCTGAAGTCTTCTTTTGCCTTGTGAAGCTTCTCTTTCGCGTTCTTGATGCTCTCCTGATGGGCCTGTTCCTGACTCTGGAAGTGGTCGGTATACTGTCTGAACCGCTCCAACGACATTGTCAGGAAGGCTCGCCATTGCGTCATCAGGTTGCTTCTGGCAAGAAGCGCAGTGTCCAGCTCCTCTCGTGCCTTTGTCAGGGCATCCACCGCAGTATACAGCGTCTTGGCATCCTTCTTTGATGCGGCCTTTGTCTCGTCCGCAACAAACTGCTGAAGCTCCGGCGTCAGAGTTTCCAAGTTGGCCTTCTTCAACAATGTGGAGACCTCCTTCAACTTCTGTTCCGCCGGTGACAGAGTTGTTGATGCCGATGAAGTTGCTGCACCTGGTGGAAGGGGCATGCTCATCCAGGGTGGCTGTTGGCCATTGGGGCCAATTGGCGGTGGTGGCGGTGGCGCAAGGGTCTGTTGGGGAGGTCCATTGCGTCCCTTGGTTTTCCCTTTGCCTCGGCCACGATTCTTCTTTGGTTGTTGCCGTGGGCTCTGGTCTCCTCCATAAGGATCTCCCCAAGGCTGATGGTCTGGTGCCGTCCAGTACGTCCTTCTCGATGCCGATCTCGATTGCTGCGCCTTTGGTTTCGGGTACACTATGCAGTCTTCCCAGGCTGTGCCACAAAGGTCGCAGAACCAGGCATTTTTGTTCCTGAGCTTCTTGCAATTGCCGCACATCCAACCAGCATTTTCCTTGGTCTGTCGAGCCATTGCTGCGCTGATGCGTCGAAGAAGACCCGGATCTCTGCTGTGGTGTGATAGCAAAGTGTTCCTGATGGATGCCAGTTGAACTATTGACAAAATTCGGATACCAAGACAATGAAGATGCCAGCGAAAGCGTGCGGAGGCTCGCTTTCTGCGTAAAGCTCTCCGTGCAGTAGGATGAATGATGGCAAAGTTCAAAATGTCCAAGAGGAAGAGGTGCGAAGTCTGTCAGCACGATGCCAAGGAACAAAATGAAGATCTCGAAGAACTGGATGCACCTGCTCATACACAATCACAGTAGCCGCCAGGCGAGCTAAGGTGGTGTCGGACTGCTCAGTTCCGACAGAGCACAAGTGCCAATGTGCCAAGGCCGCGAGACGAAAGCGGCCCGTGGGCGTTATGGCACGCGCCCACTAAGGTTTCTAAGCTCTCAGGGGGGTCGGGCTTCCCTGCAGAGCCGACACCTTAACGCACATATATATATATACACACAATAAACATCAATCATCAAATAGCCCAACTGGTGGCTGCCTTTCACCAGGTCATTCTGGCCAGCACCTTGTCTTCAGAGGAGCAGCAACGCCTGCGCAGGGCACTGGAGGTCCCAAGAACGGAGGCCGTTGCACCAGTCCCTCGGGATGATGGGAACATGCTGTTTTACCCAAGAAGCCCAATTTTTGTTTGTTTCCAACGTGGCTTTTTTTGGGCAATGTTTTTGCATGTTGTTTTTTTTTTGCTGTTGGAAATCCACCCGATTTTTGAGGGCGAAAGCTTGAAATGCAAAAGACGTCGATGTCTTTTATCTCATCGAGCAATAGGGCTAAAACCCGCAAGAAAGTTCAAAAAACCTCTTGAAATATACAGGGGTAAAACAGTGAAAGTTCGCTTAAAACCGAGTCAATGATGGGACGTGTGTGCTCTACAATTCTTGTTTGAACTCCAAATTTGGGATGGTTCAATGTGTAATATCTGTCATATCCGCATGAAAAAAGAATGATGTTTCAATTTTTAGTATGAGGGATGATTCCCTGGGCCCATTTTCATGCCCCAGCCGGTGCTTCAGAAAGGGGGGCCTGCACCTTCAGAAAGTCGCGTTCCAGCAACTCAGGCAGAAATCATCTACCGCGTGAACTTTGTGGATGGTAGCGAGTTGGAAATCACTTTGGACGAGACATCCTCAGTACAGGATGCAGTAGTGGCTATTGCCCATCAGAAAGGTTCCTCGCCACAAAGGCATGGAACAGTATGAAGCGTTTGGAGATGGAAAGGATGGAAAGGATGGATGTATAACAATGTATAACCAATGAAAGTCAGCACATATCCATGGAAATAAACAGCAAATTCGAAGAAGGATAGAACCATGGCCACCAATCCTGGATGTAATCCATCATTGGTGCTGGTGCGTTTGATGTTTGTTGGTGCGTTGTAACAGTTCTTCTTCATACCGCTGCATTGAGTGCGAGGGAACCACAAAAAAATCAAACAGGGGTAGAGGACCCAAAGACCAAGCCGCATGAGTCACATCTTGGTACGAGTACGAGATCACATGATTTGGCCAATTTAGAGAAACACCCAGATTGGATTTGTCTGAAACTAGGGCCCCCAAAAATCCCAGGCTTTGTCTTCATTTTCCCAATTTCTCAACGGCCATAACTTGGGATTGCAATTTTTGCGCCCCAGTTTTGGACCAACCCATCCAAAAATTCAAGCGCACAATTTTCATTGATTCTGCAGTTTTTTTTGGGTTTTCCATCTTAACTTCTTACTGTAGCCTCAACTTTTGGGTTTTCCATTAGAGTTTTCCTTCTTACTGTTTTCCATCTTACTGACCCATTCAGAATCATCGCCCATCGCGGAAGTTCCACAAAGGCCTGTCCTCGGGTCAGCTGCGACTGCTGGTCTGCAGCTCGCCGGAGCTGCTGCCGGTGCTGCGGAGCGTGCGGCTGCTGGAGGCGGCACATGGATCCACCGAGTTGATGGCTGCGCTGAGCAGTTTCTACCGCTTGGGGATGCTCAGTTGATTCCCTTTATGTGGATCCAATGGATCCATTTTAGGGTGTCCATTTTAATGGAGGTACCCAAAAAGTCACCATGGCTGTGAAAACACGAAAAAAATGGCCTAATTTTTTTTGGATGGTTTGGGGTAGCTGTAGTACTATTGCAGGAGCCACAACATGGATTTTTTGCAACAAAAAAATATGCAGGATTCACCAATCAGAACATTTGGGATTGACCAACACAAATTGAAGGACCTAAGAGAAAAAATGAAGGGGTTCACCAACACAAATTGGCATTTCAGCAGCAAACAAATGGAGAATTCAGCAAGGAAAATGGGGGCTTAAGAAGTGAGGCGACCCATTTTTTTTTTCGGTACCTCAAGAGGAACGAAATGACTGGTTTTCGACACCCATTGAGCTGGTGGGATATGGAACATCGAATCTTAGCCGTGGGAAATGACTTCCGTCAGTGGATGGCATCAACTGGGAACTGTATCACCTGGCAGGGGTTTCTGCCAGAGTGTTCTTAGAACGGTTTGTGCGGTTGTCCTAACTTTAGTGCTGCCTTGATCTTTAGGCTCAACACAGGGATAGTAGATGGTAAATTGTAATAAGTGTAGAAGGGCACCTGCGGTTGACCCTGATACTTGGTGCCTGGCTTGTCGAGGGGTGGAGGTGTTGACAGGGGAACTCGCTGGCACGTGGCCTTACACTGCCGCGCGGGTTCTGGCCGAGGACGCGGTTGTGAGCGCGGTCCGGACAGTGAAAGGCCTGAGATCTCTGGGGACTTCATTGAGCAGCGCTGAGCACTCTCGCGCAGCTGCTCGTGAAAGAACCCGTGAACGATCTCCCCGTGGAAGGGCCTCCAGTGGGAAGAGCCTTCCACCACCTCCACCTCCTCCAGCGCCCTTGACAGCGCCCAAGGAGGAATATTCCTACGCGGAGGAATCTGAGGAGGAAGAAGACCAGGTCGTAGACCCCCCAATCACCACCAAGGCCAAGTGCGACCCCAGCAAGCCTCCTCCGGAACCTCCTGAACCGCCAAGGGAGCACGATCGAGACCGGTCTCGAGGACGTCGACGCCGGGGAGAAGCCTCAGGGACACGGAAGCATAAAAAGAGGACAAGAGGAGGAAAGAAACATCAACGCCTGCACAGGCAGTTGGATCGACCAGACCTACCGCTACCAAGGCGCCCACCGAGGAGCTTCTGGGTGGAGCGACCATCCTTTGACGGCCATAGAGGCCACAGCTCAAGACGCTGAGGATGTTTCATTGGTCGGAAGGCCAAGAATTTCACATTGGCAACGAGTCTGAATGGACCTGTTTGACCTTGGGACCAGGCATGGTGATCGAAGTGTTGCTGGATCCCGAACTGGCCGCTGGTGCGGAAGACCTCTGGGGGGGCTTTCTAGTCTACGCCGTCGAGGTCGCCGACACCGGAGAGTGGCTGATTACGCCCAAAAGCTTCGGTTGTTCGGATTCAGAGGTGTCGCGTACGTTGTCAGGCTTGTTCAATCGAAGAGTGGGGGTGATACATCTTTGCCGCACTCAGGGGTGCCATGGTGCTGGCGAGTTCGCCGCGCACGCCACTTCTCTCCAGAGGGGTTCAAGCGGCCCTACATGTCCCATGCCACGGTGAAGCAGTTGAGGAAGTGGCTGGACGAGTTGGGTGTCAGCGCTGGCGAAGCTCCGCCGCCGCCATTGGGTGCTGGAGGACTGGGCCTTGGAAAAGACCTGGACTTGGATGGAGTGCCCTGGACCCCGGGCGAAGAGGATGCTGGGGAAGGACGTCCAGGAACAGCAGCTGGAGCGCCTGCGCCGCGGCGGGTCTCAAAGGCCCTACACAAAGATCGTCAGGAACTACGACAACGCTTGGCAGCGGCGCGCGATCGCATGGTTGGGAAAGCTACCACGAGCAGCGCTGGCGACAGAGCCGGGCGCCCGATAGATGTAGAGGCAGCTATCGAAGTCTCGTCCTCCGAAGGCTATTCTCCCTCAGAGGGGCACCCTGCAGTCAAGGAGGAAGGGGCGCCCAGGGCCAAGAGGCGACATCGCCCGCTGGATCCTCTAGGTCCGCGCAGGGCCTTAGAAGATGTTGGGCCCCCCATTCAAGGGCCACCAAAAGACGGCAAGAAGAAAGCCCCCAGGAAGAAACACTCCACAGGACTGGAGGTTGTCAAGGCGGCTACAAGAGGTTCTACTACCAGCAGCTTACAGAAGCAACTGATGCTCAGAGCAGAGGAGACAGCCCTGGAGAGGAAACAGAAGAAGAGCGAGAAGAAGAGCGACAAGGATCCGAGTCGCCAGCTTGCGAAGATCCTTACCAGGGTTGTGAAGGGGAAGAAGGAGACCAAGAAGAAGAAACGCAAGAAGCGCCGCCGCAAGAAGAACGAAGAAGGCGGAGGGGGCGGAGGCCCCAGCGGGAGTTCTGGAGGATCCCCGACTGGAAGCTCAGGCGCCTCTTCCGGCAGCGGGTCCGACGAGGATGGGAGCTCGAGCACGGACTCTGCCAAAATGGAACCTCCACTCAAGAAGCGAGCGATGCAGAAGCCTGGTTCGGTGTTAAAACTCCTGGTGGATCACGCCAAGGAAAAGCTGGATCAGACGTCAAAGATCGCTGTCTCAAGGCGAGACGAGGACGATATGACGCAAGGCGTGCGCATCACCACGTACTTTGCCATCGTGGTCAAGGGACAGCTGAATCAGAGCAGCCCGCAGTTGAGGGAGCTGCACATGCTGGCACATGCCCTGGACCTTCTTCGGGGAGGAGAGTTGGACAGTTTGGGGGACCTGATGGCCTCCCGGTTCATATCCCTCCACCAGGCGGGATTGGACGGGAATTGGCATGCAGCTCGTCATTTGGAAATGATCCCTTACGACGAGAGTTCAGCAGCAGGAGCCGCGGTGGTGCTGCAGGCTCGGAAGCATGCCAAGATGGCGGCGCAAGTCGCAGGAGCCGTCCCACCGACCTGGAAAGGAGGCGGCCGAGGCAAAGGCAGTGGCAGAGGCGGATGGGAAGATTCTACATGGACTTCAGACGGAAAAGCCCGAGGAAAGAAGGGCGAGAAAGGAAAAGGACGAGGCAAAGGAGCTTGGAAGGGTCAGGGCCAAGGAGAAAATGCAGGCGACGGCAAGTCGAAGGAGAAGTTGCCGGAGAAGTGAGGAGCGGCCTGTCGGGTGATGGCATGCTGGCATTAGCCGTGCATGGCCTAGCGTTGCATGAGGATTCGGACAGGGGCTCACAGAACTTGAAGTCCACCACATTTTGTGGCGGCACTGGGATTGAGGCTGCTGAAACCCCTACAGTTCGGGGATCTTTCGAGCAGTGCACGAACTTTCAACGCATTGGTTGTGTCCTTGCTTGGTGGATGATAGCTGGCCGAAACTTGAGTGCCTTGGACTGTTTCACCAAGGACTTTTGGGAATGCTGGCAAGCCTGCCGTGCAGCCCAGTCACGGTCCTCCCGGCCTCGCGCCAGGGGAGCGACCTATCCTCTCAGGGAGGGGGAACTTGCTGAATTCGTTGAGACCGTAAAGGTCATGAGCTTGCAAGAGGCCACGTCCGCTGACGCCGTACGGCGCTGGGCGCTCAAGGCCTGGATGTTTTTGGTTTTTGTAGGGCTGAACTCCCTGTCAGGGACTGTGCCCCTTCCGCCAACTGGGCGCTGGTCTCAAGTGGAGGCACAGGCCGCGCGCTCGATACACGGGGCGGTTGAGACTCGGTGTCACAAAGACATCGAGAGACTGGACTGCTCCGAAGAAGCGTGGAAAAAGGATATGAGCAGCAGGTTGATCGGCTATGGGGGTGAAGAAATTTCAGTTTGTGAAAAGCTTTCCTTGGAACAAATCGTCCCTGGGTTGCCGCCGGGGAGTCATGGTGCAAGTGTGGATGCGTTGGAGTGGGTTGGACCAAGGACTAGGTACTTTCTTCTAAACCCCAAGGAACTGCTTAAGAGGGATGATGACGTGGTGCTCCCAAAAATGCCTGGAAGAGTTCATGTGTGCCAAGGGGAAGAACTGGGGATCGCTTGGGAACTGGTCAAACGAAATATCTGTGTTTGGATCCCGCTGGAAAAAGTACATCAAGTTGGTTCTCAACCTATCCTTAATGGTTTGTTTGGGGTCTCAAAAACTACGCTGTTGGATGATGGACGTCCAGTCTTGCGACTCATAATGAACTTGGTGGGTAGCAATGCAACTCAAGAGCAGCTGGTAGGTGGTTGCAGTACGTTGCCGAGCATAACAAGTTGGCAGAGTATAGCACTTGAAGACGGGGAAACACTTTCATGCTTTCAATCTGATATGTCTTCTGCGTTCTATCTCTTTAGGATCCCATGTTGTTGGCACCCTCACCTCGCGTTTAACATTATAACAACAGGTGTTAACGTTAATGGTGACCCAAACCAACTTTTTGCTTTGGCTTGCAACGTCATTCCGATGGGATGGCAGTCGTCGGTGGGTGTAATGCAAGAGATCTCCGAGAACCTCATGAAGCATGCCAGTGTAGGGCCAGCTCACCAGCTAATGAGAGGGAAAACGCTCCCGCCATGGATGAATGAAACTTTGGAGCAGGCCTGCGAGGAGGATAAACACTGGTGGCATATCTACCTGGACAACTTTGCGGCTGCAGAACGGGTAACTCCTTCCAACGCTGTGACCTCGGCGGAACTGTGCCACCGTGAGGCCGAACGTGTCTGGAAAGAGGCGGGGGTGATTTCCTCGAGCAAGAAGCGATTGGTGGATCAGCCGACCATGGTGGAGCTAGGGGCTGAAGTTGATGGCGCGCAGAAAGTCTTGGGTGTGACAACTGATAAGCTAGTTCGAACCATACAGGCAACGTTGTGGTTGATTGGACAGCAGTACTTGAACAGAAAGCATGTGCAGGTTGTCGCTGGGCGTTGGGTCTTCATTCTCCAGTTTAGAAGGCCTGCCATGAGTGTGTTGAATGAGACTTGGAAGCTGGCAAAAGGTGCCTGCAAAGTTACAGCAAAGCTCCGGTGTGCGGTGAGAAAGGAGTTGCTGACCCTGGTTTATTTGAGCCCTTTGCTCTTTTGTAACCTTGGAGCTGGAATCAGCGAGGTGATGATGGCATCGGATGCTTCCGAAAAGGGGGGAGCTGTGGGAGTTGCTAGGTGCTTGAGCGAAGCTGGCAAAGATTTTGCAATAGCTTCAGCAGCCATGGACAGATCTGGAGTCACAGACAAAGCCCCGATATTGCTGGTGTCTCTGTTTAACGGAGTTGGGGTATGCTACAGATGCTATGATGTGGCAGGAGTCCTGCCGGCTGGGCGGATAGCAGTGGAGATAGACGAGGGAGCCAATAGGGTTTGCTCTAGGCGTTGGCCTGATGTGGAGATTGTGCGTGATATTCACCTTGTCACGCGCGACATGGTGAGAAGCTGGAGCCGCAAATACCTGGGTATAACGGAAGTGCATGTTTGGTCAGGCTTCCCTTGCACAGACCTCTCTGGAGTCAAAGCAAACCGCGAAAACCTCTGGGGAAAGAACAGCCGGTTGTTTTATGAGGTCCCCCGAGTTACCAACCTTGTGAAGGAAGAATTTGGGACTGAGGTGACGGTCAAAGAGGTAGTGGAGAACGTGGCCTCAATGGACGAAACAGCAGCTCGCGAGATTTCGGAGGAGCTGGGAATGTACCCATACAGGCTTGACCCAGTTCAAGCTGTTCCAATGAGGAGGCCCCGTTTCTGTTGGACGTCTGAGACCCTCGAAGGAGTCTGCCCTGATGTCCGCATTGAAAGCGGGCGCTACTGGCGAGAGGTTATAGCCGAAGCTCCATACCCTGAAATAGGGCAGTGGATTGACGATGGATTTCGGTGGGAAGGAGGTGAACGCGGCTGTGTGCTTCCAACATGTTTAAAGGCTATCCCGCGCCGGACGCCACCACCTCGTCCAGCTGGGTTGCAAAAATGTGATTGGGACACTTGTGAGCGTTGGAGGAGTGATTGTTTCAGATATCCCCCCTATCAATACCAACAACAATTTCTCTTCACTTCTGATTCTTCTTGGAGGTTAGTTAATGCTAACGAGAAGGAACTTCTCCTGGGTTACGGGTATCGGCATACTGAAGTTGCCTGGTCAGCCTCAAGGATCAAGCAAGACCGAGTCGGTTACAGTGATGCACGTAACAGTTATATGGGGGACTGCTTTAGCATTTACAGTTTTGTTTTGTTGGCTGTGGCATGTTGTAAGAAGTTCTTACCGACAATACCATACAAGCTTCTAACAAAACGGATGGGGCTGGCACCTGGGTTCCGCGCCCCCTTAAGATGGTTGGCACCCCTGCGAAAACAACTCAGTTATGGGAGTCCCATAACCACCTTGGATGCTTGTGATGGAAACCCCCAAAAACTTAATAGGATCCTGTTGCGCCGTACAAACCACACAGGTTCAGATGTTCGCATCAGCTCGGGGGAACTGATGAATCAAAAAGCTTTTCCGAGACAATCGGCTCAAGCTAGTTGGTGGAAGTGGGAGCCTGCGTTTGGGCAGGCCTGGAAAAGAAAAGCTCATATAAACGTTTTAGAGATGGAAGCCCTTCTTTTGAGTGTCCAACATCAAGTACAAAGGTTTCATCAAGGGGATTGCCGTATCTTTCATTTAACTGACTCATATGTTGCAATGAGTGTGGCTAGCAAGGGAAGAACCTCCAGTTTGCAGTTACGAAGGGTCATGCGCCGACTGGCGGCCTTGCTGTTGGGCCATGGGTTGACGCTGATACTGGCGCACGTGGAGTCTACAGAGAACCCCACGGATCGACAGTCCCGTGCTTGGTGAAATGGTGAAGCTTGTTGCTGGGAAATTTTCCCGTGCAGAACGAGCTCGGCAAAGGGCGCACTTGAATCTTGAGGATGCTTGTTTGACCCCTGCTACGCAACAGCGATACTACAATGCCTTGCGTAAGGTACTGCCCTTTGTGGAACGAGCAGTGAATGAGGATGACCTGGACCAGCAGGTCTCAGCATGGGTCCGTTTAATGTGGCGTCAGGGAGAACCATCCTTGACCATTGGCGATGGGCTCTCAGCCCTCCACTTCTTTCAACCTTGGCTGAAGCGGCGGCTGCCTCATGCTTGGAAACTTTTTGCAACATGGCGCAGACTGGAACTGCCAGCCAGGGCTCCGCCGCTGACCTTGCGTTTGGTTCGAGGTCTGGCGGCTTATGAAGCCATACTTGGGAATTTAGAGATGTCAGCATGCCTTCTTTTAGGGTTTCACTGCCTCCTCCGGACAGGAGAATTGCTAGCGCTGACGCCAGCAGACTTTCTGCTGGGTACCAGCAGTGGGATTTGTTCACTTAAGTCTACTAAGTCTGGCAAGAGAAATGCTGCGTCAGAAGCTATCAGCATCACTGACGTTGTCACCCTGGAGACCTTGAGAACAGTTTTGGCCGCAAAGCGTCAACTTGGAGTCTCCGCACTCCCTTTATGGTCCTCTTCAGGTGCTGCTTTCCGAAAGCGCTTTAATGCAATCTGCAAGGTGTTCGACCTCGAGCGCCACGGCTTTAGACCTTATTCACTCCGTCGTGGAGGAGCAACGGAGTTGTTTCAACGCACCCAATCGATGGAGGCAGCGTTGATTCGTGGGCGCTGGGAATCATCCCGCGTGGCCCGGGTATATATCTCTGATGGGTTAAGCTTCCTCCCCAGCTTGGTTCTCTCAGCTAGGACTCAAGCCTTGCTGAAATCTTGCTATTTTTTGGACCCACTACGTGGGTGAGCGCTACGCTGGGAGGCCGTGGAAAGGTGGACTCTGGAATGCTGAAAAAATTTTTCTTCGGGCATTCCAATGGCTTTGGTTTGGCTTCTACCATGAAGCAATGTGACCGCTTCTACCATGAAGCGTTGTGAGGTTGAAATGAGATAAATCCTTTCTACCATGAAAGGTACGTTTAAGGTCAGCTGAAACGAAAGCTGACAAGTTTCACAAGAGAGACAATGGTCTCTGTGTCAAAGCCTTCGACTGGCAGCACGGCAGAAAAGTGCAGGGCAGAGCACAAGAGTGTTCTTAGAACGGTTTGTGCGGTTGTCCTAACTTTAGTGCTGCCTTGATCTTTAGGCTCAACACAGGGCCCTAAGCCCGCCCCTCCCTGAGGAAAGGTGGACTCTGGAATGCTGAAAAATTTTTTCTTCGGGCATTCCAATGACTTTGGTTTGGCTTCTACCATGAAGCAATGTGACCGCTTCTACCATGAAGCGTTGTGAGGTTGAAATGAGATAAATCCTTTCTACCATGAAAGGTACGTTTAAGGTCAGCTGAAACGAAAGCTGACAAGTTTCACAGGAGAGACAATGGTCTCTGTGTCAAAGCCTTCGACTGGCAGCACGGCAGAAAAGTGCAGGGCAGAGCACAATGATTTATGTGTCAAATTTCTTGGGACCTCCCCAATTCTGCCGTTCTTCAAGTCGTTTCTGGTTTTTCCTGGTGGATCTTCTTGTGTGGCTTGGTGCACCATCCACACACTTGGAATCTGAGGAAAGCTCATGGGCTGCTGTCATGCGAGGAGGTGCCATAGCCATAGCGTGGGGACTCCAATCGCCATCGGGAATTCACCCAGTTTTTTTTTTGAGAGCAGGACGCTGTGAGAGTGCACTTTTTTTAATTGTTTTTTCAAAACTGTAAACACATGTTAAAGCTTAAGCTACAGATGAAGCTGTGTTCATGTCCACTAGAGAGTATGTATTGCTTGAAGAAGTGTCCAGGTGTTCACTCTACCTTAGATAAATGCTACTACAGCGTCCCTTCAACAAAACACAATTTCTGCAGAATATGCTAGATGACTTCAACATAATTACAACATCCCCATACCTGCCAAAAATGCAGTATTAAAAACAAACATACCATTCTGAATAAGTAATCTTCCTTTGGGGCAATGCAGTGTGTTTTTGCAGGGACAATATCCAAACAAAAAATGAAGTAGTCCTTGAAAAGCTGCACCATGCAGATGTCTAACCCTCCTTTCAAAGGAGCAGTACTCCTTTTAGAAAAGTCAAGATTTCTGCACAATATATGCAGTATCATTGACATAGAGCATCCCTTTCAAAAGTGCTCGCTTCTTACCACAGAACAACAGAATTGTGTCCTGTATGGCAAAAATACATTCTGTGTGAAGAAGCAATTTTCTTGGAAAACTGGCCTACTTTTGTTTGACATGTGTACTCTTCCCCTTGGTCAAAGCAGCCCAGCCTTCATTTAGACAACTCTCACTTAAAGAAATGCTTTCAATAGTATCCAACAATAATGTTTTCGTTTAATCAAATATCTCACTCATATCAAGGGGATGTTGCACAAATTCAACAGCAGATTCTTCAAGGACGACTATACTCTTTCAAAAGAGTGCTGCATGCATACAGTATATGATATGTTCAAACAATACTTGATTGTCTTAGGGTTTACAGTAAAGATGCACATTCTTCAAATTACAATATTTTTCAAGAGGAGAGCTGCCTACACCAAAGGATGTTATTCTCAAAATATGGTTCGCTATCTTGGAAAAAAAACACACTATGCATTCAGAAAAATGATGTGCCATTGTCAAGGACATATTTTACATGCTTACATATACCATGTGTTCTTCATTTAAGAAAACATAATAAGAACGCATATTGTGAAAAGGGCATTGCATGTGCAAGAGGGTTCATTTTTGACATAGAAGCAGACTAAGACATGACATACTTCAATGGGATGCTCTACCATTTTAAAAGAAATGCATTTGTTGAAGGGAGCGCTCACTTCAAAGAGATGCATCACTCCTTTTCAAGGGAATCTTTTAAAGTGTTTGAACATGTCTTACTGTAACCTAAGGGTTTGACCCAACACTGTCAATATCAAAATCAGTTCTACACATTCATTGGCTGCCAGTGTTTTTGCATTTTTAAACACATTTTTTGAAAACGTACATAAACATACACAATTGCCTAACCTGTATCCCAAGCCCGATAAGCTTCCTCAAGTGATACCTGCATGTTGCCTTGGTTTTTACATAGTGTTCTGATTCTAATGGAACCACAGGCCCAAAGCAAACAGTAAAACAACCAAAAGCAAATTTGCAACCCCTAAAGTGGGAGAACTGGCAAAGAGTTAGGTCTAGGTCCTTCACTTTTGTGTTGTTTTGCCAGCCCTTCAAAAAAACAACAACGAACCAGACAACAAGAATCCAAAAAAAACAAAAAAACGAAAAAACAAAAAAAAAACAAGATTGAAAAACCCCAAGGGTGGGAATAGTGGCAGAGAGTTGGGTCTTGTCATTTTTTTTCGTTTCTTGTTTTTTTTTGTTTTGTTTAGCCATTGCAGAGATGCCATGCAGAAATTGTCACTGGTTGCACAGCAGTGACAGAGCCATTGCAGATGTGCCAAGCAGAAACTGTCAGTGCATCATTAGAGAGCAGTGAAAAAACTGCACTCTGAGGGTGTCCCCTTCTTTTTTTTTCATATCCCCCAAGTTGTCGTTCGCAGGTGAAATTTGATCACTATGCCAGCTGGGCTTATCTGGAGGAACAGGAAACCGGTGGCCTAGTGGAACGGGAGCTCGAGCGGGACCGCAACGAGCTGGACCGCAACGAGCTTTGTGAAGGCTATCAAGTGACGATGCCAGCGATGCCGGGAGCTCTTCCTGGGCGACTTGGTGACGTTCTTTTTAGCCTCACAAAGATAGAAAAGTAACATCTTACTGAAATTCGTGGTAAATTGAAATGGAACCTTTTCGATCTTTTTTAGGTTCCTCTACTTGTAAAATCTTGTATATTGTGTAAATACACATATTCAGATGTTCATTTTCCATCCTGATTTGAGGAGAACCCCACTTGACTCTTGCCTTGTTGAGACCAGTCCTGGTTGAATCCGAAACCCTGGGGAAATCAGGAAATCCCCCTAAAACCTGGGGTCGAAGTAAGTGTCTCTTCTGCAACAGCTCGATGCCCCCCAAATGGGGGGGGTTGGGTACTGCTCCAAAGGTCGGAGTGCTCAGGCCAGAAAACGACAAATCCATTTAAGTGCGTGTTTGATGAATTTTTTGTCGGTGAAATATCACCCCATTCCCAAAGAAGATACGGTAAAACCAATGACTACTGCCAAGTCTGCCGGGGTTTTAGGACCCTTTAAATGGCACACACAATGCAGTACAGGTATTAGTAATTAGTATGGTACAAAAAGACTGATGATTTATATATATATATATTTCACCAATTTCCCCTATCATATCCGCATTTATAGATGTTTTTTCCATGATATCTCTGCGATATACAAAGAATCTTATCTCCAGGACAAGCTAACTATCTCAGAGTTGGCAAGCTAACTATCTCAGGAGTTGGTTCTAGCATTTGGTAGTTTCCTTCCCGCATCTCAGGCAGGACTTTATCAAGGCATCATCTTCTCGGAAGGCGTGCCGCTGGTAGGGAAGATTTTGCTGCGCTTCCTGATCCATGAGAGACACTGGGCCATTGGCCTTGGAATCGGCACTGAAAGCATGGAACTCGCCCAGGAGATGGCCATTTTGGAGAGGTGAAGTATCACTTGAACTGGTGTGCATATATATATAAAATGTATAATATAATGTATAATAATAATATATATATATAATAATATATATATAATATAATTTATAATATAATATAATATAATATTATAATATAATATAATATTATAATATAGTATAATATAGTATAATATAGTATAGTATAGTATAGTATAGTAGAATATATATATTATATAATATAATATATAATATAATATACTATAATATAATATAATATAGTATAGTATAGTATAGTAGAATATATATAATATATATAATATAATATACTATAATATAATATAATATAAAAAGTAATATAATACACATATTTGACATGATATATATGATAATATATATAATATACCCTGGTACCTCTCAATTTTGCAATAAATAACAACACACACACTTCTCCAAACATTTCTTGCAGAACAGAGTCATCATTGGCTTATCCATAGCTTATCCAGGCTTATCCACAGACCCCCCCATAGACCCCCCCATAGACCCCCCCAGGCTTCCATGAATATATATTATATATATTATATATATATATTATATATTATATATATTATATATATTATATATAATATATATAATATATATTATATATTATATATATTATATATATTATATATATTATATATTATATATATAATATATATAATATATAATATATATAATATATATAATATATATAATATATATTATTATATATATTATATATTATATATATTATATATAATATATATAATATATATAATATATATAATATATATAATATATAATATATATAATATATATACTATAATATATAATATATATATAATATATAATATATAATATATATAATTTAATATATATATAATATTTATAATATATATAATATATATATAATATATAATATAATATATATAATATATATATATATAATATATAATATATATAATATATATAATATATATAATATAATATATATATATATATAATATATATAATATATAATATAATATATATATATAATATATATAATATATATAATATATAATATATATAATATATATAATATATATAATATATATAATATATACAATATATACAATATATATAATATATACAATATATACAATATATATAATATATATAATATATATAATATATATAATATATATAATATATATAATATATATAATATATATAATATATATAATATATATAATATATATAATATATATATATAATATAATATATATATAATATATAATATATATAATATATATAATATATATATAATATATATAATATATAATAATATATATATATATATATATAATATATAATATATATATAATATATATAATATATATAATATATAATATATATATATATAATATATAATATATATATATAATATAATATATATAATATATATAATATATAATATATATAATATATATAATATATATAATATATATAATATATAATATGTATAATATATATAATATATATAATATATATAATATATATAATATATACAATATGTATAATATATATAATATATATAATATATATAATATATATTATATATACTTCTTATGTGAGAACCAGCGCGCTTTCTAGTAGGGCAGCAAGTGGGAGGGCAACCAATAAAAACAAATTGGAACAAAAGTAAAAAAAAATCCTTGGAGGGCCCGAACAAAATATTACTATTATTTTTAGTTATTATTTTTTTTCCTTTTTTTTATTTTTTTTCTTATGTGTTTTTAGTTGTTTTTATGTGTATTTGTTTTTTTTGATATTTTTCATGTTTTTATATTTTTCTTATTTTTTCTTATTTTTCTTATTTTTTTATTTTTCCACCTTCACAGGCCCAGCCCAAATAGTCACCTACCAAATAGTGACCTCATCCTCATAATTGAATACTGATCACTGACAGTATATATAGGGCTTTGAACCCCTTATAATATGTTTATGGAGGAACTGCTCGGGATGATTCACCCTGCAGACGCTTTTTCAGCATTACCTGTGGGGATAGGCAGAGATATTTACATTGAAACTGATATGTACATATACATTGTATGACATGTGCAAATATATCTTGTCGAACAGAAAGAATGGATGCACTTACACAGACACATGAAGCGCACACAGATAGACATGGTCTGACGCGTGGACATAATACAAATGCTTGCAGTGTCATTTCTTGCAGGATCGGAATTATTTGGTGTTTATGTGTATGCACAAGTGCGTACTCCGGAGAAGATATGGTTGCATTTCTTGGAGAACGGATTAGCAGGCACTTTTCACTGTAATTTACCGTGTTATTTGCTCGTCATGTTTATCTAATGCCTATTGTAGTCACATGTTTTCTCGCGGACTTCCGCTGCGGAAGTCCATGTCAAGATGATCGACGTTTTCCAGTTTTTGAACAGATGTCTTCCAGCCTAGAATTGCGATGTCCATGCAATGCTGAGGTTTGATTGAATTCTAACAAAGTGTTGAATTCACTGCAAAGTCGTGCGAACATGCCAGTTGCACATGAACTGTGGAGTTCGTCAGCGACCCCAGCCCAGTGGCACCCCAAATGACTCAAGCCTGTCGGTTCCGGAGAACAACCAGGCTTGAGCCTATATAATTATATAAATACACAGAGTATATATATATATGTATATTGTATATATATATATATATATTACTATAGCATGTGTATATATATATACATACACACTATCACATTGACACATTGATACACATATTTACATAGATGTAGACACATGCATATACTTATGCATATATATATATATAATATAATAATACATATATATATATGCGCACCCACACACTCACACATTCGATTTTACATATGTATGGACAAGGTGCCAGTGCCTCTGGGTTCCCCTCGAGGATCCCGAGTACGACCCTGGTTTCCTGGGTCTGTACCATGGAGGCCGCTCCATCAACATCTGCAAGTGCGGCAAACGAACCTTTCGGCCGAGAGGTAGTGGCGACCACTGGATCGCTGGCCACAAATTGGCCATTCTCTTAGACCTGGATGAGGGGAGCATGCAATGACGCTGGGATTCTTATGGCTCGTTTTTTGGGACATGACCTCCCTGAAATTTATGAACTGGAAAAACGTGCCTGGAAATGATGATACACTATTGGAAATGGCTGCCATGGCTACAAATACATGGAGGATATCGAGAACATCATGTTTTGCGCGGTTGGAATAAGTGGAATAAGTGGAATAAGTGGACCAATTTCAGGGTCCATTTGAACTCAGGGGGCTGATGCTGTGTGAAATCTAGACCTGAGACCAGAAGGATGGAGGTCCTGCTGCCCAGTTCGGCTGATTTTTTCCCCATGAGATGATCCGAACTTTGCATATCTGGCGTTGTGGGTTAGGATTATTTTTTTATTGGATACAGTACATGGAAAACACTCATAATTGGTTATATCTATATACAATATATATATATATATACATATACGTACAATGTATATGTACATGTATATGAATATGTGTATATGTGTATATGAGTATATGTGTATATGTGTATATGTGTATATGTATATTGTGAAAGCCAGGCCAGTTCACATGTGCTCGAGGTCATTCCCTCATTTAACCAGGGGGTTCTTCCAGAAACCAGTTGTTGCCGCAGCCTCTGGGCTGGAGGGAGGGATTAGCTTGAGCAATAGCGCTATCAGCGACGCTTAGCGGAGACAGCTGTGGCCAGCTGTGGGTGCGTTGGACTGATTGCAGGTCGTGGCTTCGCATTGGGCAAAACAGGAGTTTGCATTGCTGGACAGGGTTCCAACTGGGATTAGGATTGGAAGTGAACAAGCTACCAGTGTCAATCTGACATTGGTAGCGGAGCTACCTGGCGATCAGGCGCCACAGAATTCATGGCTGAATCATCTGGAGGACAGACTGGAACTGATGGGGGTGGAACCATCTCGAATCAGCTTGCTCTGTTAGTGCCTTCGTTTGATCCTGCAAGTGACAATGTGGACATTTGGTCCAGCAAGGTTCATCTACTGCTTGAAGCATGGCCCCAGACCAAAATCTTGGAGCTCATCACCCGACTGATCCTCAACACAAAGGGATCAGCTTACCAGAAGCTTCATTTGCATCAAAAGGACCTCTTGGTGAATGACCGTAAAGGGGTTCAGAAACTGGTGGAATTGGTTGGGGGCACCTGGGGACAGATTCCCCTTGAGCATCGTTTTGAGTTGGTGGAAAAGGCCTTGTATCGATGTCAGCAGAAGCCTGACGAGACAGGTGACAGTTTCATCGCCCGTGTTGATGTGGTTTGGACTGAGCTTTTGACCAAGGACGTTGACATGGATCAGAATCGATCGTATGTTTTGCTTCGTGGCAGCCGCCTTTCAGCTGAAGACAAAAAGCGCGTGTTGGTGGAGTCCGGAGCTGAACAAATTGGACAGAAACTGGAATGGAAGAAGGTCGTAGCAGCCATACGCATGTTAGGTTCATCTTTCTTTCAAGACTACACGGGTGCCAAACGAGAAAAGAACATGAAAACCTATGACCATTTGGCCTTCAATGTTGATGAAGTAGAAAAGGATGAAGAACATGACACGTATTGGACTGTTGATGCTCCACTGGATGACGAAACCTTAGCACAGTTAGCCAATGACAATCATGAAGATGCTGCTATGGTGGTACAGTTTGAGGACGCAGTGACAGAAGCAGTGCAGAGTGATGCAGACCTAGCTGCCTATTTTTCCTCATATCAGGAGGCACGTCGCCGCCGCCTGACAGAACGTGCCAAATTCAGAGGATTTTGGCCCGTGAGAAAAGGAGGGAAAAGTGGGGGCAAGAAAGGTTTTGGAAAAGGAGGCGGAAAAGGAAAGTCACTAGCACAGAGGATAGCTAATTCTACGTGCAGACTGTGCGGGAAAAAGGGTCATTGGAAGGCCGAATGTAGCCTTCGTCAATCAGCCTCGTCCTGATGGATCAACAGTTCCGATTTCCATGGCGGTCGTCGATGATGTGCCAGCAGAAATCCCACCCGAGATCTCCCATTTGCCTGAGATGAGATTTCCCGAGCCTTTGCCAGATTGTGCAGCCGCATGTTTTGGGGTAATCACGGGAAATAAACTTGGGAATAATTGGAATAATGATAAGGGTAAGAAATGGGGATTTAAATCACATGTCATGTCACGCATCCGAATGGCCCTCAGGAATGAACTGAGCATTCGTGCCAACCACCGTGATGCTGCGCAGCCAAAGTCCCATGATGTAAAGTGTCCCTCGACGTCTCACATGCATGATCCGAAAGATCACCCAGCATCCAGTGTGATTTCACATGACATACACTTTGCGGCATCAGGTACCCATGGCATTGTTGATCTAGGTGCTTCACAGACAGTGATTGGAAGCTATCAGGTGACAGAACTTTTGCAGGGTCTTCCCGAACAGATCCGAAAGCAAGCACACCGTGCACCATGCCACTTAGTGTTTCGATTTGGTAATCATCAGACGCTGATCTGTTCTTAATGGATTTGAATCAACTTTGGGATGAGAGTTTTTCTGGTGAATCAGGTGAGGCCTCTTGCATGGCTCAGACTGAAACTGACCGTGGTGCCAAAACGACAGTCAAACAGCCGCAGGGAAGCCTTAGGGGTAGTGAGCTCAACTTGACAGACCAGTCATCTCCGCTTGAAAGTTCAGTCAGTTGCCATGAAACAGTTTTGAGAACCCACTTGCCGGTGAGCCCGTCACCATCATGTCCGACTGACTCAGCAGTGTGTGGTCCAAAGATCAACGCAGAACGTGACTCAACACCGGGGGAACATGACGTCCCTGGCTTTGCAGCTCAAGGAGTACAACAAGTCGCAGAAGAAGCAGATCTCTCGAGAGGTCGTGAGTGCCATGACTCTGGAAGAGTTAGCCAGCGAGAAGATCACCTTCAGAGAGTCAAAGAAGGGTATGACCTATGCTCAGGCGTTCGAGGACGCACAATGGACCGAGTTCATTTTGAACAGGTTCGAGATGAGCGACAAACCAGAGCACATGATGTTTGTGCAGTATGTCCGTCTGCGCCTGAAGGATGTCCAGGTGAAGACCAAAACCAGCAACCAGAGCCCCAAGCCGAAAGAGAACAAGAGCATGCCTCCCGTTCCACAGGACGTTTGGGAAGATGTCATGCCCACGGACGGCTCAGATCCAGCCGACCTGATGCACCTGCCCTTCATTCAGGAGGAGATGCAAGATCTACGACAGAGCAACCAGCATCTGTCCAATCGAATGGGACAAGTCGAGATGATGATGCACGAGATGCTGGAGCACATGAAGAAGATGCAGGTGAAATCCGAGAACTGAGAGTTCTGAGTGCAACTGAGGCTGATCTGATCCGGCATGGTATGTTTGCAGAAGAGGTGCATTTGAACATGACCCTGGACACAGACTTTGACTTCACACATGATGTTTCCAACAACAGTTATCACCGACGAATCCAACGTATGGTAAAACAATTTCAATCTGAACTTGACCAAGTGATTCAACAAAATCAGAAGAACAAGTTTCGACTTCCTCAACTTGATTTGTTTGAAGTCATGTGTTCCAGTGACAGTGAACTCATAAAGCAAATGTCGTCCATTGGTGGTCGCTCCAAAAGATTCGGATTGGTAGAAGGTGACCTCCAAACAGCTGCAGGACGCCGAAGAATGTTTCAAGTGTTGACCACCCAGAATCCCAAGAATCTGTGGTACAGCCCTGAATGTGGACCCTGGGTGCGTGGACACGGTTCTGTGTGGAAACCGCCTATAGGTCTTATGGGGCGGAATAAATCACTCCATGGGTTGCATGACATTCTTCAGAAACGTCTTGCAAGCCTCTGGCAGATCAGCTTAGCCATTGTTCTGTATCGATTTCAGGTGCAGAGATCACTGCATTTTCACTTAGAACAGCCGGATGGTTCCAAGATGTTGCAGCTCCAACCACTAAGTGAAATTGGTGAACACACAATGCTTTGCCGCTTTGACCTCTGCCGCATGGGCAACTTGACCAATCCAGAATCAGCCATGCCCATCCGAAAGCGTTTGAACGTAGCAACAACGTCAGATCCGTTGGCCCGAGCCATCCATGGAAAGCTGTGCAATCCCGATCACGAACATCGACAAATTGCAGGAAGCATTAAACATGAGGGAAAGCGTATGTCATTGTCCACTTTTACTGAGAAGTATCCAGCCAAATTTGCTCGACAGGTAGTCAAGATCTTGCTTTATGAAGTTCCAAAGGAAAAGCCTGTGTTTGCAATGGATGACCCACCTTCTCAGGAAAATAACAATGAACACCCAACCAAGAAGAGACGCCTCATGTCAAAATTGAGTCCACAAGCCATTGCACAGCGATTTGCTGACACCAGCTGGCAGACAGTGATGAGACGTGCCAATGTAATGGCCCCACGTGTTGGACCACTGGTGATTGACACTGGAGAAATCATTCATGAGATTTCCATGTTATGTCCTGAACATGAGATTAAACATGTGGTCCTTTGTCGTGGCACAGACCGGTATCCTGACCCTACCAGAAATGTTCCACCAGGTAGTGCTCCTCTAAGAAAACGCATTTGCATCCGTCGCAAGCATGAAGATGTGGTTGTTGATGATGAATGGGAGCCCTGGGAGAAACTGACATTTAAAGGCTTGCGTCGAAAGGGAACGCCAGCCAGAGTCAGTCTGACCATATTTGCCAAAGCCAAGACAGTTGTAGGCCAAGAGATACCTGTTTCCGAACATGTTCCAGTGCAGTCTCAATCTTCTGCCGACGTCCGTGCTGTTCGCTCTGCTGAGTTCGAAGGATCAGAACCAGAACCAAAGCGACCGCGCACTTATGAGCCAATGGATGTGGCCCAAAGAGTTTCCGAACCAGAAAAGACCGAATCAATAGATCGTCATGTCATTGACCTAGCCTCTCAGAAACATGGACCACGTTTCATGATGTTGAAGCCAGAAACTCAGGCATGGCTTCTCAAAGTTCACTGAAACCTGGGCCATCCGGGAGCTATGAAATTGACAGAGTTCTGTCGACAACTGGGATGCCCCAGTGAAATTCTCCAAGCCATCGGAGACCTGAAATGTTCAACATGTGCTGAGAATCAAGATCCCAAGATAGCTCGTCCAAGTTCCATACATGACCATGGGGATTTTGGAGATGTTGTTGCAATTGATGGTATCACATGGACTAATAAGATGGGGCAACAGTATAACATCTATCACATGTTGGATCAAAGTACCTGTATCACACTGCCGTGGTTACTCGTATACATGATGCTGAACAGGCCATACATGCGCTTCACCAGGGGTGGATTCAATGGGCCGGACCTCCAGGTCTACTATGCATGGATGCAGGGACAGAACTGAACTCCAATGACTTCATGACATTTTTACAACGGTACTCAATCAAACATCGAACCATTGCCACAGAAGCACACTGGCAAAATTCCAGGATTGAGAGACATGGAGCTGTACTGCAAAGCATTTTGAACAAAATGGACACCGAAGAACCACTTGATTCCTTTGAAAAAGTAAGCCAAGCAACCGCTTTGGCCACTGCAACCAAAAATCATTGGAGCCGTCACAGGGGTTATCCACCAGAAGTCCTTGTGTTTGGAAAGTCAAGTAGGGTAGCCGGTTCAGTAGTTTCAGATATGCAGTTGCCTTCCCACAGTTTAGCCATTGATGATTGTCCTGAAGGTCTCCGATTTAGAGAGGAACTGGCCCTGCGAGAACGCGCACGTCGCGCCTTCACTGCCACTGACAATTGTCAGGTCCTAAGAAGAGCCCTGGTCCAAAGGAGTAGACCCAATCGGGGCAAGTATGTCCAGGGAGATCATGTCATGATGTGGCGAAAACGTGGTGAAGCTGATGGCTCTTGGATAGGTCCCCTTCGAGTTGTGTTGCAAGAAAGTTCACATGTTGTGTGGATCACCATGGGCAGCAAGCTGTATCGCGTAGCTCCGGAACACCTCCGACCGCTGTCAGCAGTTGAGGAGTGGCAACACCGATCCACAATCAATGAAAATCAATCAGGTGATTCTCCAAGTTCCACGTCACCAAATCAAAGCATTATCCCACCACATGGCGGAGTACAATATCACAATTTAATTCCCACTGAAGCACCAAGTTCAACTACCACTGCCAATAATCAAGATGTGAATCAGATTCCAATAATCCCCAATGAAGATAACCCTAACGTTTCAGTAATCCCAATAAGTGACAGTAACTCTGAACAACCTGATGGTGAACCAGTTCCCAACAACCAGGATCCCTCCGAAAATGTTGAACAGCCACCCAATCCAGTGGAAGTGCCAATTCCAGATACGGATGATGAACTCTTTGTGGAAGCCGATCATGTTTTCCAAGTTGATAATGATCAATGCTGGAAATTAGAGATTCCCATTTGTGCTCAAGACATCACCCGCTGGCGTGAGGAAACAAAACCACAGGAAATGGCTTTCCTTGTTTCAGCAGCAAAACGACAGCGCAGTGAGGTGAAACTGTCAGATCTCACAGCTGAAGATCGCGAGCGTTTCCGGCAGGCCAAGATGAAAGAAGTGGAAAGCTGGATCAGTACCGAGACTATCACAAAAATCATGCGTAATCAGATCCCAAAAGCCAACATTCTCAGAAGCCGATGGATTTTAACTTGGAAAGAAGTTGATCCCACCGCTGATCAACCTCAACAATCCCAGAAAATGAAACCGAAGGCTAGACTAGTTGTGCTTGGTTTTGAAGATCCTGAAGTATCAGAAATTCCTCGTGATAGTCCCACAATGAATAAACTGACCCGGATGCTTCTCCTTCAGTACTGTGCCAGCCGAAAATGGGATATCCAAAGCTTCGATGTACAGACTGCATTTTTACGAGGCAGCGAGCAGAGCAATCGCGTTTTAGGCATGGAACCACCAGAAGAGATGCGACAGAAACTCAAGCTCCGTCAAGATGAAGTGGTGCAACTTCTCAAAGGTGCCTATGGGCGTGTTGACGCACCATATCTCTGGTTTGTTGAACTGAAGAAGACCCTAGAGGAGCTGGGATTCCAAGCATCACCGTTTGATCCGTGCCTGTTCCATCTGAGTGACCCCAAAACCCACGAGACACAAGGTCTGATTGGTGTTCATGTTGATGATGGGTTGTGTTGTGGGAATGAAACTTTTCAGAACAAGCTCAAACAACTGGAAGCCAAGTTTCCTTTTGGATCCCGTAAGATGCACAAATTTGTGTTCACTGGTTTACATGCCACGCAGGAAGCTGATTACACTATCACAGTGAACCAGTCACAGTATGTTCGGGATATTCATGCAATTTCCATCTCTCGTGATCGAAGGTGTCAACCAGACACTGTCGTCACAGAAGAGGAACGACAAGCGTTGCGAGCTCTGATAGGGAGCCTACAGTATGCAGCTGTAAACACGAGACCTGACATATGCAGCCGACTGGGTTGGCTTCAAAGCCAAATCAACAAAGCAAAAGTGCCCACATTGGTTGAAGCAAATCGAACCCTCCATGAAGCAAAACAACATTCCAATGTGGCCCTTCGAATACAATCCATACCCGTTCCTGATTTGCGGTTTGTTGCTTTTTCCGATGCCTCCTTTGCGTCAGAGAAATGCCCTGACTCACATCAGGGAATGATGATCATGTCTGCTCACAAGTGCATTGGTGAAAATAGACGCAGTCCAATCAATCCAATGGTATGGCATTCTAAGAAAATCCAGAAGGTAGCAGTCAGCACGTTGTCAGCCGAAGCAATGGCTCTGGCAGGAGCAGTGGATATGCTTTCTTGGGTGCGCCTTTTCTGGGCATGGATATGTGATCATCGCTGTGATTGGAGACAAGCTGATAGCACTCTCTCCGACTTCCACCAGCATTTTCAGCGTTGACACCAGAACTGCCTGAAAAACAGCCGATGCCTGAAGTTGCCAAAAGAATCCTCAATGATATTCCCAAGGAACGTTCTGATTTCATTACCACTGATTGTAAATCACTCTTTGACTTAATCAACCGTAATGCTCCCCCAACTTGCACTGAATTTCGTACTCAACTTCAAGCCAAGCTGATTCGAGAACATATCCAAAATGGCATTCAGATCCGATGGGTTCCATCAGCCGCTCAAGTAGCTGATGCGTTGACAAAAGTCATGGACAATACCATGCTTAGGACATGCTTACAGCAAGGTCACTACAGTTTGCATGACGAGCATGAAATACTCAAGGCTAGATCAGATGCAAGAACCAGAATCAAATGGCTTCAAAATCTCAATCCCGAAAGTTCAGAGCATCGGTAGTTTGTGGAAAAGCCAAGCCGTCCATGCGCTATCCGATTGAAGTTCTGAAAAGCCAATTAGATCTTTCGATGATGCAAGCATAGTCTCTGCCTCACAGGAGACAACTACCAGTGATGAGGTTGACATTGTCTTCAATGCGTAATCAACTGGGTATTTTTCCACATCATGTCCGTGATTGTCTTCACCATTCTGATCACCGAAGTCGTATCTGGAATGTGCACATGATGAACAAAATTTTCATAGTACGAATGTGAAAGCCAGGCCAGTTCACATGTGCTCGAGGTCATTCCCTCATTTAACCAGGGGGTTCTTCCAGAAACCAGTTGTTGCCGCAGCCTCTGGGCTGGAGGGAGGGATTAGCTTGAGCAATAGCGCTACCAGTGACGCTTAGCGGAGACAGCTGTGGCCAGCTGTGGGTGCGTTGGACTGATTGCAGGTCTTGGCTTCGCATTGGGCAAAACAGGAGTTTGCATTGCTGGACAGGGTTCCAACTGGGATTAGGATTGGAAGTGAACAAGCTACCAGTGTCAATCTGACAGTATATATGTATATATGTATATATGTATATATATATATGTATATATGTATATATGTATATATGTATATATATATATGTATATATGTATATATGTATATATGTATATATGTATATATGTATATATATATGTATATATGTATATATGTAAATATGTATATATGTATATATGTATATATATATATATATATATGTATATATATATGTATATATGTATATATCTATATGTATATATATGTATATATGTATTTATGTATATATGTATTTATATATGTATATATGTATATATCTATATGTATATATATGTATATATGTATATATGTATATATGTATATATGTGTATATGTATATGTATATGTATAATCCCTGTGACACCCCCCATCTAGCCATGATATTTTTGTGTCCCCAACCCACCTGCACCCAGGTTTCGACGATTTGATCCCTTTTGGACCCAAGCAGGACCTGCCCCGGGTGCCTTTGTGGCCTGCGGTGGTCTTGGGCCGCGCTGGCGAGAAAGTGAGCGTGTCGGTGAGCTGCGTGTGATGTGAGGCTTGCCTCACATGGGGATAGGAACAGACCAAAACAGGACACATTTACTCACACACTTATGTGAATGAAAGTACATAGATGGATGGATGGATAGATACACAGGCAGACAGATGCTGTATATAAATAGATAGAAATGTATATATATATATATATGTATTTATATACAAATATCATTATGTACATAAGGAGGGCACAACAATGAAACATGATAAAGCCAACAATTGAGGCTGTTGGATACCACAACTGCATGATCAAAATTTCCAAGATCATCAATATCTTGGTTCAAAGTTCTTGTGCTTTGATGCAGGTCCAATGCCGTCAACATTGGAGTAGCTCCCCCAAAACGTTCTGGGGAACAGCAATGCCTCGAACACCAATAGCTTGAACAACTGAATTGGCAGCGTCATTGTTTCTGAGATGGCCCAACGTGGCACAGCAGCGCCCGTGCAACTCCGAAGGACTTGCAGGACACACTGCTGGCTTCCGCAAAGCAAAAAAGTGCGACTCATGTTTCAAGGTTCCCACCACCCCAGGTATGTTTTGGGGGAAATTTGGTAAACTAACAAAGGGGCAAAATGATCACTTTCCCTCCCAAGTGGCTATGATTCACCTATAATTGGTTGGAGCAACCTATGCAGCCCAAGCCATTTGCCCGAAATCCAACATTTTTCTTGGAACGTGGGAGTTGAAGTTGAACAATGATACCAATGCTTGCCCTTTAGACACTTTAGACCTCCCATTTTACCAAAACCATCCAAAACCTGTGACCCCTTGACCACTGTCCGCTGGAGATTTTGGATGCGCGAATCCTGCGTTTGCAACATCGACGCAGCCTGCGCTGTGCAGCCTTCGTGGGAAACGCTGGTGCCGGGACATAGAGATCAAACATGGGGGATACCCGGGATAGTTCAAATTGACCCATTTCAATGGGGAATCATGGGGAAAAAATGGGAACATCATGAGTTTTTTTTTGCAGGGGTAGCAACATTTTGAACACAGCCAATTCCTCGAGTTTTTCTCGTTACATCTGCATTGCAGTACATGGTATATAAGCTCATTTTTGATGCATTGTATCATTTCTGGCTTCGGTCTATGTACATCGCTTTAGGCTTTGGGCACCGCGGAACGAGGTCAACACTTCTCCTCGCTGCCGCCGTTCACACAATCCTCGTCCTGGCCTTGTTGAAGTCTATGCAGTTGCAGGAAATCACACTGCAATGCAGCAATCCAACACATTTGACAACAGGTCAGAGCCAGTGTGGCCGTAATCTTCAGCATGTCCGCAGTTTTAAGCTTGGTGAGTCGTGAGTAGTTGGAGATTCTTCATTCCTTTGTCGCATCATGGCTGCTGGATCCCCTGTGAGTGCCACCGAGCTTCCACTTGACTTGGTGAACCCACCAGTTTCAGCCGACGAGCCTTTGGATGCTCGCGACATTGAATTGGTGCAAACCACTTTCAAGAAGGTGGCGGAAGTGGGTCCTGAAGCAGCAGGCCGAATCCTCTTTGGCCACATCTTCCGGATTGCACCGGAAGCCAAAGAACTTTTCTCCTTTGCCAAAGATGAGGAGACAATGTGGTTGCCGGGAAGCAAATTGGAGAAGCATGGCGCAAGGGTTGTGAACACAGTTGCCACTGCAGTGTCCATGCTGAACGACCTTGAGGCACTTGTCCCTGTTTTGCAGCGTTTGGGCCTGCAGCACGTGGGATACAAGGTCTTGCCACCTCACTATGAAGTGGTGGGCCAAGCATTCATCGCAACCCTTGACGATGCCTTGCAAACCGAGTTTACCGAAGCTGTGAAGAACGCCTATCTGAAGGTATGGAAGATTGTGCAGGCCACCATGATTGGAGAGAATTATGCCTGAGTGACTCTCAGACTCTCAGCGCTTCTTTATGCAAGTTCTCCCATGTTTTAAGCGCTTCCTGTTGGAAACAGGACGTGGATGCCAAGGCTTTTGGGCTTTTGGGCTTTTGGGCCTTGGATAGTGATTTCAAAAGACCCATGCTCGTGCTGAGCAAGTTGAACAATGGTTTAAGACCTTGTCTTGTTTCTTGATTTTTTTTGATCTTCGGAGCGATGTTAGTCATCAGCTCCGCGCAGTTTGCGGAGAGACGCAATGCCAAAATGTGATTTGCTGGCAAGTGACGCAAGTGTGCTTTTTTGATGCTTTTTGGGTTGTTTTCGGATTTCTGGGTATATTTCCAGCACGAGACCTCAGGGGTTGTGTTCTACACGTCAACTGCAGTCAAATGCCAATCTTTATAAAGTGATTCAGACATAATCAACAGTTGAAGCCATTCTCCACTTGGTTTGTGGTTCCAAATTCCTGCTCGGGAGACATTTTGGGTCTCAGAAGATCTTCCCCCCAAAAGTTGCCAGACGGTGTTTTTTTCCTACAGAAACCAGGTAAATCATGGAGGTTTATTGCTGGGAAAATCATCTGTTACTGGGTGATTTTCCATTGCAATGTTTGATTACCAGAGGCTACATCTCCCCCATCCCTGCACCCATCCTGATTTCCAGCTGCTGAGGCATCGCTGAGGGCAGCCGAGGAACTGTGGAAAGTGATCGGTCGACGAGGTGCGCCATCGATGACTGCGGACGTTTTTTTTTAGAGATAAACCATGCTCTTTTTTTTGGGACTTTCACTGGACCTATGGAGCTGGGAAGATGGATTTTTGAAGGAACCACTTAACATATAGACACTAAGGATTTGGATCCTAGGTTTAGGGTTGAACATGAACCCAGTTCAAGAGCAACCATGGAGACTGGTGGGGGTGGACATGTCATTTCCGAATGTTTCACTATCTCTTGGTTAAGCCTCCAATCTCCTCCAACATTTAGCTACGAACCCTGGTCGCGTCCAGGTGGTGAGCTGGGCAAGGCGCTACATTCCATCTGCCGCCTGTTTGCGAACGGTTGTGGTTGTTGTTGTTGTTTTTTTGTTTGCCACGGAAATCAGCTGGGAGGGCCCCCCAAAAAAAGTGGAACCCGGCATGGAGGTAGCCCAGCCTTTTGAGGGTCCTGGCGGAGTGGGATGTCATCCTTATTGGTAGATTTTTCCGAATCTCTAGACTTCATTGTGCTTGTGGCTTGTCTTGCACGTCCGAGTCTACAAGTGTGATGCCAGTTACTGTATTCGTTTCGGCGGTGATTTCATCCTATGCAAGTTCCAAAGACTGCGATGGAATCCTCACAACATCCAGGGACCCCAGAATGAAGAAAAGTTGGGCCCAAACCATGAAGACAATCGAGATTGTAAGTGACTTGTACTTGGGTTCAAAGTGAGACTCCTGCTGTTGATGGACAGCCACATGTACTGCTTGAGGTGGAAGGTGCCTTAAAGGATGCCCACTCCAGAAATCCAGGGTCTGGGGCTTCCCGTTTCCGGTAATGTGGCCGGCAGCCCTTTTTTGAGGCATGGACCTGGAAGGATTTCGATTTATACATCAAATCCCAAGGCCTTGCTGTGGACCTGCAAACCCCAATCCTTGGGAGGTGAGTCAAGCACTGGAACAGAAGCAGAATGCGCAGGTGCGAATGGCGCTGGTCCGGTCTGCTCATTCCAACTTGGGGATCTTCGGGGGATCACAATCTTTGCCAACGCAGGGGAGGCTCCCCACATCCAAGTCCTTCTAAGCCGTGGCCCCATGGGTAGCACCGTCCGTCATGGGATTTTCTGCTCATTGGCTCAGCTGTCTGCTTTTCCAAGATCCCACATGACGGATCATGATCATGCTGGTTCATTCTAGTGGGAACACCTGTTCTTGTTGCCACCCTGCGTTCTGATTTCCGGCCGGGATATGTACCGAGTGATCCATGTACTTTTACCACCAGCAACACACCGAAGTTGGGTTAGCAGGGTCGACCTCCCACCTATGGATCATTAATCACAAAGTCCCAATGATGAAGGGTCATGCATGTCCATGATGGATGATAGAGCTCACCATCGATCAAATATATTGCGAAACACATATTTAAACAAACCATTTATATATATATACAACCAAGAAGGTTTCATGGTACCCTCTGGTAAACTAACAGTTTGCCATTGAAAAAAAACAATCTATAGTTGATTTGCTTATTAAACATTGGCATTCGATCAGTGCATCCACGCCGCGCTGACTTCGGGGCCATGGCACCGCGGTTCTCGTCGCGCTTCAGCGCGGTTGTCCTGTTCGCGGCGATCTGCTGGTGCCTGGGCCCAATAAACCATCCCCAAATGGTAGTTTTTGGGTTGGCTTTGGGTTTTCCACAGGCTATAGTGGGTTTCTAACAAGGATATGATCCGGATATTGGATGATGGATGATATTATTGGGTAGATATTAAATATTAATGGACATGAATGAACCATATCATCCCTAGTTTACTGATTGGTGATGTATCAATTGAAAGGAGAAAAGATGTCACGATTTTAGGACACCCGGCAAGTAAACTGGGATTGATCCAGGATTTTAACATTCATTCATCCCATTTTGGAGATGACATCTGACCCATTTCGCCTTGGGGATCGTTTATATCAAGCTTTACCACAACTGGGATTCTCTGGAGGATGGCAATGTCTCAAACCTAGGGACCTAGAAACCAGTTGCAGATTGCTATGCCGATATGTTGTTCCACATAGATCACAGGATAATGTGGGCACGAGTCAGGCCCACAAGTGATCAATAGTGAAGCACTACAACTTTCTGGGCTTCGTAATCCTGGTCACTACGTCCCCCATCTCTGGGTTTATCCCTTTTTAAATGAACGTACAGTACTAGGCCTTTTCACGTGAAATGCTGTTTCCCAGCAACTCTTCCCCACGTGAACATAGAAGTGGGGTTCTCCCGACGTTCTCAAACAACCCCAGATTCAATGGTTGGCTATATATGCCGTTATATTTCCATGATCTCTCCCACTCCCCCATTCTACTCCCACCAGATCTTGTCCATTGTATCTTCATTACCCCACAAGCTGCACATATAGCCATTATTGTTGTTTTTATACCCCCATGTGTTGCTTCGAGCCCCGCCAGGGTGCAGAGAGCCTTCCTTTCTCCCCGCCTTGGCTATGCAAGCCCCAGAGGCCGTGTGCATCGCCGTGACCCGGCAGTTGGGATGGAAGAAATCCTGCACCACCTTGGACGATTGAAACCCTGTAAATTTCCATCCGCAGTATGTTTCCCCATTTCTTTAGAGATCTCAATTTAGCTACTCTTGTGTTCTCTGCTGTTCGGTTTGTACTGTCTGAGATTTGCGATTCTCTGCTTGTCTTTTTTGACGTTTTTGCTTCTGCGTTTTTCTGCGTTTTGTTTCTTTGCTTTTCTGTTTTTACTTTCTTGCTTTTCTGTTTTTCTGCTTTTTGCTTCTCTGTTTTTTTGTGTTTCTTTGCTTTTCTGTGTGTATATTTCCGTCGTTTCTCCTTACATGTTGTCTGCTCTTTCCACAACAGCAACATCATGGAGTAGGACAGATACAGAAATCGATTCAATCGATAGAGTCAGGAGAGCAAGAGGTGACAACAACACACGAAGACGCCGACCAAATAGACTAAGAACAAGTGACAACAACACACGCAGACACACTAGTTGGAGGTGCAGTTTGGGCATATCTAATCCCTCTAACATGAAATATCCTCGATTCTGGAACTGCATCCCCAAGTGTAAGCATCAATAAGTATCAATAGGGCAGTCCAATTCCATCGCTTCAAAAAAAGTCAGGTGCCAGCTTCGGCAGCGCCTCGGTTGTACCGCAGATTCGGCAAGCCTTGGAGGAGTCCGGGACCTTGAGACAATGGTTCCTTGGATCCAAAAAAAAGGGGCTCCAATGGGCCATTGGGGATGGGGTGAACATGGAACACATGTTGGAATTCCTCGGAATTTCTGGTGGAATTGTTGGATCCAGAGGTGATCTCGTCCCTTTCTTGGAGATTTTGAGTGTTTTTTTTAAAGGTTTTTCTATGTTTTTGAGCTATATTAAAAGGGTCCATCTTCGGAGAGCTGGGAGATGCTAATTGCTTGGCTGACTGGGCCGAAGGTTAGAGTCTGCTGCTGCCCTGTCCCAAGCCTGCAGCCTGGACATGGGGTTGATGGGCGGGTCTTGATGGGTTGAGGATGTGCCAAGCTTCGTCATGTTAGTCGAGAACGGACCAGGCCCAACTTTTTGACCTTTTGGATCCTTTTGGAATGTTGTTGTGGTAGGAATTGATCTGCTCAGTTGAGTTTCAATTTCCTCATTACGACTTTGACTTTCAGCATTTCGGTGGTTTACTCAGTTTACTCCCTCCATTTCTGGCGCCACTTTCAGGAGTTGGAGGAGGCGGAAGGGATTCTAGCTGCTCGGTGTTTTCCACCAGATCGCAGTTGCGGTGTCATAAACCTACCATGGCCATCAAACACTGATCCCCCTGGAAACGAACATATAATGTACCCTCTGGTTATGTCAAAATAGCTATTGAAAATGGCCATTGAAATAGTGGATTTTCCCATTAATAGCATGGTGATTTTCCATTGCTATGTTAGTTTACCAGAGGGTAGATCATGTCTGAATGGGAAACCCCATGGATTTCCATAGCTATGTTGGTCTGCTGAGACTTACAGGAGGGTGCGTATAATTAGCATCTTCTTGGAAACATGGTCCGCAAGATTTCAAGATGCCCATGGGTCTCATGTGGTCTCACCTTCTTCATTAGCTTTGTATCAGCAACTTTCAAGACCGCAGAGTATTGAACCCTCCAAAGTTGGATTGTTTCAGACCCCAAAAATATGACCACCGGCAGACACATAGACATAAAATGACACATATATATATATACATATAATTATATATAATTATATATATATATGTGTATATATATATATGTATATCACCCACATGTTACGCATCAATCTTTATATATATATATGCATAATTATATATTATAGATAGACCTTATGGATGTAGGCAGTATATGCTCCCCGAGGCCAAAAGCGCTGGATGGTCGACTTGGCTGGCGGTGAATCGCGCGGCATATCTGAAGCCGGAAGATCCGAACGCGCAGGAAACGCTGGAAGCCTTGAAATATTTCAGGGATGGACCTCTGAAACTGACGCTGGGTGGAGAAATTTGTTGTGTTGATCTGGAGGTTTTTTGATTGGAAAAAGGGGGAAATTAGGATGTATTCCATATATGACTGGGTTACAACATGGTTAGTACCCACTTAGCAACTGGGTAACAATACAATGTTGACACATTTACCAATTGGTTGTTTCATGTGTTCTCTGAGCTGAGGCCATTTCCCATTGGTTGATCAAAAAAGAGGGTTGAAACCCTCACATATTTTGCTATATTTTGCACAGCCATTCTGGAAGAATGATGTTAACATATGTTAATAACTTGTAAACAGATGCACATGAGATACTACACTATACTACACTATACTATAGTGTATATACTCTATTCTTTCCCAAAAGACATCGTGTAGTGTGTGATGTTGGCCATTTTCCAGGTTTTTGGAAGGGCGCTGCAGTCTAGTGGAACCGAGAAAGATGGACTCCTCTTATCAATCTTTCAAAGATAGGTGCATGGTTGTTGAAACATGTTGAAACCACGGTTCATTTCTTGAGCATGTCTGAGATGACTGCACATTTTACCCTCTGGTAATTTAACATAGCTATTGAAAATGACCATTTATAGTGGATTTTCCCATTAAAAATGGTGACTTTCCATAGTTATGTAAACGTTTACCAGAGGGTACCCGCCATATGGGTCGGTAAAATCGTTAGATTTTGAGCCCATCAATTGATGGTTGGCGAATCACCGAGACCGGACTGTGATATTGCCATTCCATGGGTGTTTTCCCTTAAAGCCAGCCAAATTTTGATGGTCAAAACCCAAGGGGTTGCTGCTTTTGGTCCTGACTCTCCCCAGAATTGGTGATGATTATCCCTATTCTCCATGAAATCGATCTAGTTTTGGGCTCAAATCCCTGGACGCTTTTATCGTTCGACAGTCAGAAGTGCCATTGCCATTAATTAATGGCAGACTCGACCCAATAATTTTTACCATCCCCAAAAGAGGCCCTTATTATTGAATATACCCCTATTTAAGGGATGATGTTCAATATATGTCCCCAAATGCTTGGTCAATGGGACGGTTTAAATATATGATTGCGTTGGGTTTTTAGGTTGGTGAATTATGATGAGATTCAACCAGATACTATAATCATCAACTATTATAACTATAACAAGCAATCACCATTAAATTTGCCATTTCCATATTATGATTATTGGTATTATTAATTGTGAATAATCACCATTCACCATTATCAAGCATTGTCATCATTATTTTTATTCTTGGGTTTACCATACTAGGACAAATGCACTCACTTGTGGGAATTATTCACACTCGTGCTATTTCCATATTTTTGGGACGGTTTATTATTGGGTTTAAACCCAATGAAATCCCTATCGTTGACGATTACATCACATCCCTGTTGTCAGTTTACCCCAGGTTATTGGGATGGTTTATTATTGGGTTTAAGCCTGATTAAATTCCATTAAATCCCTATTGTTGATGGTTAAATCCTAATTCAGACAGACATTCCCCAAAAGGCTCCTTTCAATGATTGGGCTTACCATACTACAACCAGTCAATTCTATATCATTGGTATTAGAATAACAAAAATTCTTGGGGTTTCGCCCACGTATTTACCATGAAATCCCATCAAAACACCATCCCTAGTGGGTTCATGGTTCATAAAATTCCATAGTATCACCATCCAGTCAGTCATTAAGTCATTAATGAAGTCCCATTAAGTCATATTAAGTTCCAATGATTGATGGTTAAATCCTAAGTCAGCCAGGTATTGTGACCATGAAATAACCATCAGAAAAAACATTCCCTAATAGTTCATTATTTGGATATACCCCTATTTGGATAGTTTAAAGTGACCCCAAATAGATGGTCAATGGGACGGTTTATTATAGGTTAAAGATTGGTGAATTATGATGAAATTCAGCCAGATACTATAACCATCCATTTCCATTTAAGTATACAGTAATGCAGTATTGGGATTTCCATTAATCAACTATTATAACCATCAACAATCACCATTGAATTTGCCATTTCCATTGGCATTAATTGTGAACAGTCACTATTAATAATTTCCCAGATACTATATATATATCATAGTTATTATAACTATCTATTTGATGTTATAATATTTGACAATGTGATTATATACAGTTATCCCATGTTACAACTATAGCCATCAACTATTATAACCATCCACTGAGTTTTGTTTTGTTTGTTTTGTTTGTTTTTGTTTGCTTGGTTTGTGTTTTTAAATTAGTGATTACAATCATTGGTGGGGACTTCACGCGTTTTTCTTGTTGTCTCTAGCGCTGTCACACAGCACTAAAGTCAAAGGCGACAAAAATCCACTGCCCCAAGGACCTCCGAGCAGCTGCGTGACGTGCTCCGGGCGAGTCCCAAGGCCCTGTCGAAGCCGCAGGCGGCCTACCAAGCGGCGCGGCAGACGGCGCCGGAGGCGCCCAAATTGGGCTGAAAATGGGGGAGAAAATGAGGGAAAATCCAGGGAAAAAGAGGGAACATCAAGGACAAATTCAGGAAGAATTAGGATGTTCCAAGAAAACAGATTACTTGGGATTTCGTTGAGAACTGGGATTTTTCAGCGAGGAAGATGGTCATGAAACAGTAAGTATGAGCCCAGCACGGTCGTGAACCACGCGCAAAGTGGAAATCTCATCCAAAGACCGTGAGAATATCACTCATTCTTTTGAACATGCCCAAAGATCAGAGAAATTTCCCATCTTGGATTCTGGTTTTAGTTAAAAAATGCTCACATATATTCGAAGGAAGTTTAGAAGTCAAACTTCCGACAATATGGACAGATGGAAAAGCAGAGGTGGCAAGAGTCAGAGACGAGAAGAGCAGAAGAGAGAAGATCAGAGAAGAGAAAGAGTCAGAAGAAAGAAGATGCAGGGGCGCGAAAAGGTAGGAAAGTCGCGAAACACTGTGTTTTTTCCAATGATTTGTGGCTCCGGAGGGTTGAAAAGTAGGCTTGCTAAAGCGGCGGATGCGGAGCTGCGGAGCCATCTGGCCAGATGAGAGATGAAAAGTTGCACGCCGTTGTGGTGCGAAGCACATTTCGAAGTCAAAAGTGCAAAAAACTGAGGGGCACGGAGCACTTTCGAACGTTCAGATGTCGTTTTGCATGGCAGGCGCAGGGGATTGTGCACCTTGTCAAAAGTGAGCAAAACGTGAGGGTTTTGTAGCAGTTTCAAAAACGATGGCAGGCGTGGGACATTTGAAGAGGATCTGCAAAGATGCATGCCGCGTGGCAGACGCAATACGAAAGACATGTTCACCAGAGATGTTAGGAGGTCAGGGTGCTGATTTCCTGAGAGGGGTTGCATTTTGGAGCGTGAGATCTTCAGGTTTGCTAAGATGATTTTGCTTGACAGGTGCAGCACTTCGTATGACCTGGCACCACTTTTTCGTGGCAGGCGCGGCATGGAGTGGAAAAATCGCAAAACGCATTGGTACGAGGCCGCCAGCTCTGCACTCAACTTTCCATTTTTGAAGGAAGTCTCGCAGAATTGCTTTGTTTTTGATGTTGTCAACTTGAAAAATTGAGGAAGTCTCGCAGAATAGCTTCCTTTTCAGACTTGCAGATAGATAGATAGATACAGATAGATAGGTAGGTAGGTAGATAGATAGATAGATAGATAGACAAATAGATAAACAGAAAGACAGATGCATAAACAGATATATATTGATAAACCCCTGTAATGAAGATAATATAAATCAGCATTCTGGGGCCTGGGTTTTAATTTTTGAGGGTTTCTGGGTGTTAAAATTGGTTTTTGAATGGTGCAGGATACATAGCAAAACGGTGTTGGCTCAGCACTATTCGTTAGTGGTGTTTTATCCAAGTCTGCTCTGGTTTACATATGCGTGGTTTATTCAGGCTAACCCCGTCCAGGTCGCCAGGTCCGCCTAAGTCTGCCCAGGTCAATCCCAACTCCCAAGTTCTCCCAGGTTCTCCCAGGAAATTAGTGATTTCCTGCGATTTTGTGGGTTTCCGGGATTTCCTGGGAGAACCTGGGTGTTATTTTCTACGATTTTGTGGGTTTCCGGGATTTCCTGGGAGAACCTGGGTGTTATTTTCTACGATTTTGTGGGGTTTCCTGGGAGAACCTGGGTGGAAACAGTTGGGGATGGGCCTGGGAGAGCTGGAAGAGTTAGTTGCCCGAAAAGTGGCTGGAGGGTGGCCCGCTATTTTGACCCGCAATTTCTAAATTTCTGCTGCAGGCGTTGCCGCCCCGTTTGGCCTGCAGGTTTGCCATGCTTTAAAGTTTAGTTATAAGCATTCCAGGGGTATAACAAGATATATATATATAGATAGACAGATAGATAGACAACTGCAACTGCACTACACCACACTACAACTACAACTTCAACAACAACTACAACTGCACTACCACTACAACTACAACTTCAACTACACTTCAGCTACAAGAACTGCAGCTACAACCACAAGTACAACTACAACTACAACCTCAAATGCAACTACTACAACTACAATTACAAGTGCCATTGCAACTACAACTGCAACTACAACTGCAACAACTACTACAACTACACTACAACTGCAACTACAGCTGCAATTACAACTGCAACCACAACTTCAGCTCACTACAGCTACACTTCAACTACAGGTTCAACTTCAGCTTCCACTACACTACTACAACAACAATTATCACGACACTACACTACAACTACAAGTACAACTATAACCTACAACTACAACTACAGCTACAACTACACTACAAATACAGCTACACTACAACTACAGTTACAACTACAACTGCAACTCCTACAACTATTGCAACTACTACAATTATATACTACAGTTAAGACAATTGCAGCTTCAACTACAGTACAATTACAACTACAACTGCAACCACAACTACAACTACGACATTACAACTTCAACAGCACCAACCCCACTACAAGTACAACTGCAACTACAACCATTGCACTACACCACACTACATCCAGGAGTTGTGAGTGAGGTGACCACTGCAACCATTGCAACCACTCCAAAAAGCACAACTCCAACCACCTTTCGGTCCATCAGTGGACTCGCTCTGCCATCCATGCTTCACAACAACTCACCTCTCCTATAGTGTCCTATCCTTGAAACTTCCGCCACCGCCTTGTGCGGCACTACTGGTATTAAATACAAAAACACCATATTACCATATATTTATTACCACATAGATCTCTATATATTCCATATTGCCAATAGGCTGATTCGCCCAGCTCTTTGGCCCTCCGAAAGCGTCCAGGAGTTCCAATCGCCAGAGGCCTTCCGAGAACTCGTGTTGCGCTGCCCCATGGTGCTGGATGCTTGGCTGAGGAGAAGTACCTGCCAGTATCATGGAATATATGGAACATGGCCGTAGAAATCATAGATTTATAGATGTTTATAAAATGTAAACCATCTACATTCATGGTTCATTTTCCATCGCTATGTTAAATGACCAGAAACAAATAAGTTTCGGGTTTGTTTTGAGGGGAGGCAACATGGAATCATGGCAATTTGCCAAGCTACAGTATTTGTCCAGATTTATGGCAATTTCATGCCATGTGGTTGTCCGGGGAACAACTGATTTTTCTCACGCCGATCCAAAAACGTCATCGTTTTTCGATAAGGTTTGTACTACATAGCTAGGACATGCTAGGAACATTGACCCAATTTTCTGCTTCTAGCATCCTTACTATCCACTCTTAAAGGATGTAAAAAAACAGGTCAACTGATTTTTCCGCAACAGGGTGAATTGACATTTCAGCCATCAACGCAAGCACGTGAAACTTTAGAACTCCAGGAGGGTCTACAACTTGGGACCACAAATTCCACCATGGAAACCAGATGAAACTTGTTGAAAGGTGGGCCTGTCGCCGTAACTTTTGTTTCGGAGCCAAGGATGCCCAGGCACAAACATGCCTAACTTATTCGTGTCCCAGAATTGGAGGCCTAAAACAACAGCTACCAGCTACCACTTGTCATCTGACAAGTTTATTTTGTGGGAACCTCCACTAGCCAGTAGAACACATGCGCCAGGGAAATTTGGAAACTGCTCAGAAACAAGAAACATATTGCAAGTTTCAGCCCGGTTATGTCCCCATAGTTGTAGCCGGTAAAACCCCACTTTGGCCGGCTCGTTGTTCGCTACATTCTCCCACGACGGGAGGGGCAAACCCAAGAATCTGTCGTTTAACGCCTACTACAAAGCTGTGATTCTTTGGGGTGAACCTGCTGATACGAAGAAAACCCCGAGCCTGTGGGGCCCTGCCCACAAGTTTGATACCCAGCAAGCAACAGTAATCACCAGAAAAAAACCAAGCGCATTTTCGTATCATACTGGGTCCAACAAATTTAATTCGCTTGTCACTAGCCATTGGGTAACGATGGGACACGGGACGCCTCAAGGAACTGAGCTTCAACTGCGGCCACAGCTGTGCTGCCGCTTGCAACCGCTGTTGGTGTCCAGCCATGAATCGGATCAAGCAGACCGTGGCGGGGCGCTGAATTTTGATGGCTCTGGAGACTGGCAGCAAAAAGCAAGAAGGGAATGGGGTAGGGGTCTAACGCACCCAAAAGTGGAGAAAATCAACTTGGAAACACCCAAAAGCCCGATCACTTTTGTTTTTGCCAATATATAATATAGAATTGCATCATTTAAATGACACATTTTCAGACCATTCCTTGAAAGAAAGGCATTGGAGTAGCACTGGATGCGCCCATCGGGATGTCACCAGCCCTCCAGGACGTGGCAAGGTGCCGAGGAAATACCAACATGGGCCATCAATGGGATAAACCATCCAGCTGTTGGGCTTCTCATCCATGGCTATGGAAACCCTGAAATGGCTTTGTCCAAAATTGGGGGATACTCCAAATGGCAATGTGAAATCATAATGTGAATGTATCATAATTTTCATAATCTATGGGATTTTGGGGTACCCTATTCTCAGACAAACCCACATGAATTTAGCGCAGATGGCCAATGAACGGGAATGACTTCTGTCCATATTTGCAAGTTTCCGAATGTGTCTTGAATCTGTGAATATTTGCTGTCATGTTGGTTTCCCAAAAAGGGATTTCATCTTCCAGGGAGGATTTTAAGATCCTCCTCAAAGCAATTTTCACCGCCGCTGCCAGCACGCGGCGCTTGCGTCACCCACGTCGCTGTGGGAGGCATTTTTCAGCAGCCAGACTCGCCTGTGACTCCGAACGAAAAAGCACACGTGGACCATGGCTGTTCGTCGCTGGAGGTGGGTGGTCCATGGAACCGTCCACAGCGATATCCGGATCGAATGCGATCAAATGGGTAAAATGGGATAACCCTTTTGGTGAACTGGAGAGTAGCCTGTTGTCGAATTGAAGTGAGCTGTTTACACTTGATTTGGATCCGATAAGTCTTTTCTTCAACCAGACAACAGTGCTGTTAAGTAGCTTGCAAATGCATGACCAGACACACTTAGTTCATGTTGGTTCAGTGATCCATTTCTCTTTCTCCTTGGACTTCCCCCCAAAGTGGTGTGCCTTGATCGAGAAACCCATTTGACTTGTGACGCGGCAGGTCATACCTACGTTCAGCCCTCAGGGCGGGTAAATGCAATGATGATTGTCCTCAAATCAGTCCCTGTTGACTTGGCCAAAGAGGCAATTTTGTCACAACTGGTGGTCCCCGAGGCCAAAAAAACACTGATTTTGATTCGCAGCTTTTTTGACTTACTTACCTGGTCTATTTCACAAGCCCGATGGATCCGATGGATGAGTGAGGTTTTTCAACAGTTGAAACACATCCAAGTATTGCTATGCCAAGTGTTCCAAGGATGGTCCCATGTGTTCCACTGTTCGCTTGGATGGTCAAGGGATTCACTGTTTTGCTCCAAGGGGGGACCTTGGGATGACCTTGGGATGGGGGGGCAGAGATGGAACCGGAAAAAATGACACCAGATGAGATTTTTGCTGGCAGAACATAGGGGATTTTACGATTTTTCATCACATGTTTTTGGGAACATTTCGACTGTTCACAATTTTTGTTTCTTGAATTTTCGTCCCCCAACAGCTGACAACTACCAGCGATCACCAGTGAGTCATGGCCATCTGGGGGTTTCTTAAAATGGGGGATCCCCAAGTCACCATGGGTTTCAATCATAAAACCGTCGTTCATGACTCGGACGATTTCGGGTACCCTGACCTTAGGAACCTCATGAAATCTCCATATAAAATTATGGTCATATTTTATATGTATATACATATAATTATACGTATAATTATACATATGATTATACATATAATTATACATATAATTATACACACGATTATACATATGATTATACATATGATTATGCATATAATTATACATATAATTATACACACGATTATACATATGATTATACATATGATTATACATATGATTATACATATAATTATACACATAATTATACATACGATTATACATATGATTATACATATGATTATACATATGATTATACATATAATTATACATACGATTATACATACGATTATACATATGATTATACATATGATTATACATATAATTATACATAGGATTATACATATGATTATACATATGATTATACATATGATTATACATATGATTATACCTACATACATACAGACAGACAGACAGACAGACATACATACAGACAGACAGACATACATACATAGACATACATACATACGTACATACATAGACATACATACATAGACATACATACATAGACGTACATACATACATACATACATAGATAGACATACACACATACATAGGTAGACATACATACATACATAGACATACATAGACATACATACATACATACGTACGTACATACATACATCCATGCATACATACATACATACATACATACATACATACATCCATGCATACATACATACATACATAGACATACATACATACGCACGTACATACATACATGCAGACAGACAGACAGACATACATACATACATAGACATACATACATAGACGTACATACATACATACATACATAGATAGACATACACACATACATAGGTAGACATACATACATACATACATGCATACATACATACATAGATAGACATACATACATACGCACGTACATACATACATACATACATCCATGCATACATACATACATACATACATACATACATAGACATACATACGTATGTACGTACATATATATCTATCTATATACATACTTACATACATACATACATACAGACAGACAGACAGACAGCCAGGCAGACAGACAGACAGACAGACATACATTCACACATACACACATACACACATACACACATACACACATACATACATACACACATACATACATACATAATATATATATATATACATAAATACATATATATATTCCCATGCATACATATATATATACATGCATATATATATACATACATATATATATATACATACATATATATATATATATACATACATATATATATACATACATACACACATACATACATACATACATACATACATACATACATACATATATATATATATATATATATATGGGGCCAAATTTTGGTAGCCGAACTGGACAATTTCAGATCTTCAATGAACTTCAGCCATCAAATGGAGATGATATGAGATGATCTCAGTCACGTTTTTTTTTGCGTCGTTCCGAGGCCAGTGATATCCAACTGGCGGTGGGCATCTCCTCGTCAGAGCCAGGGAACTTAGCTGGTGAAAAAAACTGGGATGGGGCTCAAACATATGGACATGCTGCTGGAGCCTCTGAAATTGGATGAGATTCTTGGTAAACTTAAGTGATCTTAAGTTACTTAAGTGTTTGCAGCATGTTTGAACCAATCTGGCACTTCGGTCCCCACTTTGGGTCACCTGGGTTGAGCGAAACCGCCAGTCTGCGGATTAGTGGAACTGCACCCCCTAAGGTACTCCCAGCGAATGGCTACAGCTCAGCTAATCAGCTTATGATATTTTTAGGGTCACCATCATAAGCTGATATATCAAGATATATCAAGATATATTAAGAGATATTAAGATATATTTAATGATATTTCAGCTGATATATCACCTTATGATGGTGACCAAGATATATTTTTAGGGTCACCATCATGTCCCCATTCTTAGGAATAGCGAGGGTCATGAACAACATCCAACAAGACTTGCCACATCTTGCCATGTCTCTCCGGAAGGTTCACGCACAACGCATCTTATGGTGATGATAATGGCCCTGGGCCCTGGAGACCCACGAAAAATGTTGAATTTCAATAGATGGTATCTGCGCGCGAACGGCAACGGTTCATTTTAGTACCTGAGGTTGAGCTGCAAACTTATCACAAAGTTGCAGCAATAACATAACTATTAGCACCAACAAATCTCAGTTTATTCCACTCTCTAGCCATCCCCAAAAAGACAGAACGGTGTTTCCAGAAGGTTATAGATGATATTTAGATATATTTAGATATTTTAGATATATTTAGATATATTTAGATATATTTAGATATATTTAGATATATTTAGATATATTTAGATATATTTAGATATATTTAGATATATTTAGATATATTTAGATATATTTAGATATATTTAGATATCTTTAATAGAGATTTCCAGGTTTCATACCTTTCTATGACTTGCTTACTCGACCCGCCCTTCTCGCCCATATCGCTGTGAGATTTGGCTCTCCAGATCGGCGCCACGGCCGGGAAGATTCGCCATGAGATCAGCACCTGTCTTGACCCCTTGGCATGATGAGATGAAAGAAAATATCAGGTGCAAACACCAGTTTTTTTTTGGATTGGGATACTGTATCTCTAATAGACTCTAATGAATGTTAATTATAAGTTATATGCACCCAACAGATCAATCTGTCTCATATCAATCATGCCCTTTCAATATAGCAACTTGTTTGGAGGCCATAGAAGTACATAAAATCAAATCGGCCTGACTCAGGGGTCGATTTTGAGGCGTACTAAAGTTACTACAGAAGTATGGTGCAGAGGTCTTTGGGGTTGGTGCGTCATCACAATTGATAGTATATAGTTTAATATATGATAGTTATATCTATTAAATCACCAAAGTATCCCTGTATCCCTCAAAGTTTATCAATCGATATCAATCAATATCAATCGATCGTATGCGCGGAGTAGACGTGATGTGAATGTCGCCAAGTATGAAGCTGGACGACGTGATCATGCTAATGATCAACAATAAGCAATGATGATAATGCTGAATAATGATTAATGGTGATGATTCAACATTCATGATACCGCTCATCCTTGTTTCGACTACCCAGTACAGATGATTAATGTGACACACCCATTCAATAAGAAACCATCCCATTAAACAACCCTTTGGGGTCATTTTACATTACATCTAGATCCATATAGGGATGTAACCAATATAACACACCTCTATTGGGGATAGTGTGTTATTATTATTGTTATTATTATTGGGTCGTCTACCACATTATGAGATTTTGCCAACAAACCTTCCAGTCCCTTAAGTAGGATGAAACATCCACCATTTATAGATGTTTTTGCATTAGAAGCCTCATTTGTTGGGCTTACTCGAATAA